ATATATTAATTTTCTAGGCCATTCAGGAGTTAATCAACTTGGAGGTTTATTTGTTAATGGTCGGCCATTACCGGATAGTACACGAACACGTATAGTTGAACTTGCTCACAATGGCATGCGTCCTTGTGATATAAGTCGGTGTTTACAAGTATCAAATGGTTGTGTATCAAAAATTTTAGCACGATATTATGAAACAGGTTCAATAAAACCACGTGCAATTGGAGGTTCAAAGCCTCGTGTAGCAACAAATGATGTTGTACAAAAAATTGCTCAATATAAACGTGAAACACCGTCCATATTTGCATGGGAAATTCGTGATCGTCTTTTAGCGGAAAATGTTTGTAATCCAGAAAATATACCAAGTGTATGTATAATATGAAAAAAAAGAATAAAATAAAATATAATAATTTTTATTTTTCATTTAAGGTATCTTCAATAAATCGAGTCTTAAGAAATCTTGGTTCAAAATCATTAGATTCAATGACAAATCATGAAACATATTATGTTGGTGATAAATTACGTGTTTTACAAAGTCAACCATGGCCATCATCATCATCATCATTTTATGTTCATCATTCTGGTGCACAACCACCATCAACAGCATATTCAACTAGTGGAGATTCAAATTCAGAATATAAACATCAAACACATGATGCTAATCATGGGCATCATCAAGATTTAGGAGGTAAAATAAAAAAAAAAAAAAAAGAAAAATTTTCTATTCAATATGTTATTTGTATTTTCTCTTACGGAGAGACAATTATAAAGTCCGGGAGTGCGAACATCTATTTTTAGGAGCATACAAACTCAGGAAGGATCAATCCGATCTTCTGAGGGATACTGTGCCTCAAGGCTTGATAAAACACTAGTTAGATATAGATTAGTAAAACTCAATTGAGTATATTCGGCTAAAGCTTTGATTTCGAGCAATGAAATTTATACTATTTCAATAAAGTGGTCCTTCCCCCTCCTGTATTGATTAGAATAAATTACTTATGCCCTAAAGGTACTGATTTATTTCCTTACAAACAAAAAAAAAAAAAAAAAAGAAGTAATAATTTGATTTTTTTTTCGTCAATGTGTAAGAATCTAATATCTTATTGGATGTTTCTTAAAGAAGAAGAAAAAAACAAACTTGTGTCATTATTTTACAGATGTTCAATCTCATACTAATCCGTACATTTTTCCACATCGTTGATAACATTCTTTTTATTCATTCAATTGTAAATGACAAGAAGAAAAAAAAAAATTTTTTTTTTTTTTTTTGTTTCTTTAGATTTGACTGATGCAAGTAATGATAGCAAAACAGTTGTACGTGATGGTTTAAATGAGAATGAAGACGCTATACAAGAACGTTTAAAATTAAAACGTAAATTACAACGTAATAGAACATCATTTACACAAGAACAAATTGATGCTTTAGAACAAGGTATATATAAAAAGGAAAAAGAAAATTTTTTTTTTTTCTCATATACAAAATTTAGCTTTTAATGGCACACATTATCCAGATGTATATGCACGTGAAAAACTTGCACAAAAAATTAATTTACCTGAAGCAAGAATTCAAGTATGACATTTTCTTTTATTTTTTGTTTTGTTTTTTCAAACCAAATAAAAATTGTTTTTAGGTATGGTTTTCAAATCGTCGAGCTAAATATCGTCGTGAAGATAAAGTTAAAGGTCGTCGACAACATCAACAACAACAACAACAATTAATTAATGATATGGGTGAAAATATGCGTCCATCAGGTTCAACACCACCACTTTCATTATCACAACAATTACAACCAACATCATCATCACTTTATCCTCAAGTATTAACAACACCTAATGATCCAAATCATCATCATCATCATCATCATCATCATCAATATGGAGCATTTGGTTCAAGTTTTACTGGACAAATGGCTGCTGCTGTTGCATGTAGTTCTAGTGCATATCCAACATTTTTTCCAAGTAAGTTATATTTATAAAATAATTGAATTACTTTAATTGAAATGTCTATACCCTAAAGGAAACTTTTTTGTTTTTTTGTGTTATATAGAAAGAAAAAAAAAACAAATTGATATATAACTCAATTCTTATGTTTTTAGGTTCAACACGTGGTTATGATGGACTTAGCCCATTTAGTTCACCTTATAATCGTTCTTGTCCTAATTATTCAACAAGTATACCAACTAATCTATCATCAGGTATAGAAACATTTTAAAAAAAAATTAATTAATTAAAATTCAAAGAAATCTTATAGATTTAGATCATATGAAAAATATGTCATCATATGGTGGTGCACCACATATATGGTATTCACCACCAATATTACCTTAGAAGAAGAAAAAACAAAAACAAAGTAAGATATGTTAAATTGTCTCATGGGATGTTATGTGATAGAGTGTTTTTGTTTTTCTTGTTTTGAATGCATAAAATATTTGTTTTTTTGATGATTTGTGATATGTGTTATTTAACACGTTTTTGCTTTTAGATTTAACAATTGATTACGATTCGAACATGGTCCTTAGCGTGCGTTTTTTTTTTTGTGGACATTTTATTCATTGTATGATATTGAGTGTCTCACTCTCTTTTTTTTTTCTCTTCTTTATTGTCGTAACTTCTTTTTATATTTTCAATCAAATACAAATATGAGAGGATTATTCAATAATATTATATATCTAGATTTATGAAATATTCATTACAATATAAAAGATATTGATTAAGAGACATATTTCTATTTAACTATCAATCGATAAGAAAATATTTTGTTTTTGTATTGTTCCATCTTGGAAAAAGATGAGTTACAAATTCTGAATTTTTTTTTTGAACACAAAAGCTACGTAGGTAGAAATGAAATGGTAAAGGACAAAATGGTTGCTACGGACTTTTCAGAAAATCAAACGGATAGCCTTTCAGTGCTTACAACTCGGACATAAAATTTGCTCGTTGTTGAGCCTATCCTAAATTCAAAATGTTTCACTACCTATGATATGCGGGTATGGGTTTGATTCATTGTCAAAGACAATTGTTTGATAAATGGTATAAAAGAGAAACGACGGATCGACGTTTTTGTGGACCCGAACCAGTGGCTCCGTAATTGTATGTGTATGATTTTGAACTTTGATTTCAATGTCGATTGTTTTTAAGATCTTTATTTTTCATTGTATAGACTTGAAATCTTATGAGAGAAATATTTCAATTGATTTCAAACTTTTAAGTTGATATTTTAGTTATAAATAAGTCTCGGTAAATCTATAAAAATCCTTCAAGCATGTGTATTTATGATTTTTCGTTTTGAAGAATAAAAAATAAAGTGTTTTTCTTCACTTCTTTTTTTCAAACTACTATTCATATATAATTCTCATAATACTATGTTGAGTTTAACTGAAATATAACATCGAAATAATGTGATAAAATTAGTAACACTTATTTATTTCTCAATGACTGCACTTGCCTTTCTCCAACTTATACAATACAGATGGTATACAAATAAATACTTAGTGATTTATCCTGGAAATTTTTAACGTTATCGAAGTTTGCTTCTCTTACGACTCATCTGAGAGCTACCTTATAGCCAAAAGATGAAGTCGAAAGTTGGAAATCAGTTAAACTACTTCCGTCATTTGTCTAATAAATACAAAAAAAAAATATAATAAAAAATGACTAATTTTGATTCAAACAACAAAATGAATTTTTTTGTCCATAATTAGATGCTAAACGTAAATTTATCATAAAATAAAACGGAACTTTTATGATAGTTAGTTTTATCAATGGTGCATGAGTCTGACTACATTTTATGACTTTGTAAATGTTGATACTTCTAAGCATGTTAAGCAATTTTTCTTAACTGTTTTACTTATAGTTGTAGATGGTTTACAGGATTTACTGTCCGCGGATTTACTGTCCATTGATTGTTTTTCTTAGAAAATTGTTTTTTTTCTACAGAAAGTATAATTTTTGCTGCTGAGGATTTACTGTCCATTGATTGAATAACTTTTTTTTTTCAATTAGTGTTTTTCTCGTTTGAGGATTTACTGTCCGTTGATTGCCTCGAAGAATAGAAATGAACAGAAAAATATTTATCGCCATCAACTATGTATATTTAGAAAAAAAAAGAATTCAAACAAATATATGAGGAAATAACAAAGAGAATAAGGAATTGATTAATAAATAAACCAAAAAAGATCAATAGGACTAGATTCTTCGATAGCTTTTCGTTTTAAATTTTGTCGCATTTCTAATACTTCTTTATCAGTTTCGTCAGGTAGATGTGTATGATCTTCACGAACAATTACTGATAAATCTAAGTAACTTGTAGCTGTTGTTTGACATTTAACACATATCCAATATTCCGAACCATTTTGATTCTTACGTTTCAAAGAATATCGATAACCGAGGTAGCATAATTGTCGTTTACCATGGGTAGATTCAGTAAATATAGCAGACATTTTTAGGAAGAGTATGATAAGAAAATTATATTCTTTGAATTTATATATATTTTTTATAAATGTTTGTCATATTAATGACTATTTTACCCCCCCCCAATTTGATGAGCATCCCTCATTTTAAATCGAAAATTTATTCAATAGTTCGCTCATTGGTGACTTTTTTGTTTTTCAACATTTATGTAATTTTTTGTTCAGAAAAGGGATTGATTGTCAAGACCATTACTCATTTATTAATTTCTCTTTTTCGAAGCAATTAATGGACAGTAAATCCTCAATCAAAAAATACACTAATTGAAATATTCTATTTTTTCAATCAATGGACAGTAAATCCTCATACAAAAATAGCGTTAATTGGAATAAAATTTTTCCAATCAATGGACAGTAAATCCGTGGACAGTAAATCCGCGGACAGTAAATCGTGTACACGGTTGTAGATACCGAAGCATAAACAATATGTATTAATTCTTAAGAATTCTGTTAAAGATTATGGTAATAATCTATTTCTTAATGAATTAATCTTTGGCGGGTAATGACTTAAATAAATTTTCATTTCTATTTTTATTTATGATTAATGTACCAATAAAAACTAATGTGTAAGTTGAACGAAAAAAAAAAAGAATATTTAAAAAAAAAACATTTTATTTTTCGATTTAAATTTTAGTTGTAAAAAATGTAATGATTGTTTTCAACACGAAGAAACTGTTGCATTATTTAAACAACATCAATATCATTTTCATTGTTTTTTATGTATTGATTGTAAAAAACAATTATCACATGAATCATTTTATCTTGATGAAAAACTTCAATTAGATGTAATATTTTTATATAGAAATAATAAATATTCGAATTTATTTAGATATCAAATCCACAAGTTTATTGTGAAACATGTTATTATAAACGATGTTCATCATGTATTGAATGTAATCAAATATTTACTCCAACATCGATTATTATTGAATTTCAAGGACAAGAATATCATAACGAATGGTAAAAAAAAAAGTCAAACTTATCACGGAACTTACCTAAATGTCCAATTGCTTTTTTATCGAGACTGCAGAGATGGAATGGATCTCTGGTATTTCGACGATCAGTCGAAGCAGCAAAATCTTGGTCTACAATCCATGTCGATATCGGTTCGATCTCTGCGAGACTGTATTCAAATGATAGTCTATAGCGAGTAGTGTGAAAATCTAAGATGATCCGTTTGCCTGAGCTTTTACTCTTGACGTATCGAATTTTTACTGAATTTCTTAAATGAAACTTTGCAAAAAATAAAGCTTTTGCTAGTTAGTTCGTTTGTTTGTTTGTTTGTTTCTAGTTTTATTTGTAAAAAATGTCGAATAACATTAAAAAATAAAATATTTTATTCGAAAAATAATTTTTTATATTGTCAACAGTGTATGAATGATATTGAACCATGTATAATGACATTAAAAACATCACAAATATTAAATGATCAATGTAAAAAATGTGGAAAAAATTTTCTTAATGGTGAAGCAATATCAATGTATCAATGTGATTATTATCATCCGGATTGTTTTCGTTGTGGAAATTGTAAAAAATTAATTGTTAGTCAAGGATTTTTTCGTCAAGAAGATGGATGTCTTTATTGTTTAAATTGTCATATTGATAATGGACCACATTGTATGATATGTAAAGAACCATTTTTAACAGGAGAAATTTTAAGTCAATTTGATGGAAAACAATTTCATAATACTTGTTTTCTATGTAATATTTGTCAACAACCAATTGAAATGAAAAATTTTTTTTGTCAAAATGGAAATATTGTGTGTGAAATTTGTTTGAAGAAATAAAAGAATTTTATGATGATTTGCAATAATATAATGCACTCTATCGTCTATCACTACTATTGGTACGCGTCAAAACATACGTAGATGAGTCATCAATGAAATTTAACGTCTGAAAAAAAAAAGAATAACCAACGATTTGCTTGCCACGTTGAATTTCCTCATCATTCAAGTGATTGCTGTCGTTACAGCATTTTTTTTTTCGTCTATCTATATAAATAGTAAGCATTTGTTGAATTTCTTCTATTTTTTAAACTCTATTCGTTCATGAAAAAAATATATTTATTCAAATATAATAAATAAAACATGTCAATTTATTCTTACTCTATTACATATTTATTAGTTATTATTCTATCATTAACTTTTCAATCATTATCATCTATTCCGGTAAAAACACAACAATCTGAAGGTGACTAAACAATAAAGTTTTTTCTTTTTTTTTTTCGAAAATTTCATTTGTTTTTTTGAATTTTAGGCAGTTTTATTCAAAATGATGAAGAATTTATTCCTACAAATGAATGGCAAATTGTTAAAGAAGGTATTTCTAATTATCATTAATCAATGGAACAATATCTACGGAAATATTTTTGTTTCTATTTAGGTCAAGCTATACCACCTGGTCTTCATGTTCGATTGGATTTACAAACTGGTATTCGAGAAGCAAAATTACTTGAAGATAATAAACAAAAACTTACATCTAATGATATTATCCCAATTTCAACAAATGATAATGAAAAAGAAAAAATTAGTAAAGAAAATCTTGAACGAGCATTTGCTAATCTTGATTTAAGTAAAGATGATATTATAACAGATAAAGTATAAAATTTAAAAAAACAAACGTAATCTTTTAAATATTTTCATTTTTTTTAATATTTTCTATAGAAACATGAAGAAGAAATTAAAACAAAATTTCGTCCATATGATGATTTAAAAAAAGATTTTCAATCAATGAATATAAAAATTCAAACTGATAATGAAATTTTAACAAATCTTATTAATCAATTAACTAAAACTAATAATGAACATGATCTCAAGACAATTTTAACTGATCTTGAATATTATCTTCATCAAGTATGAAAATTTTCGCTAAAATTGATCGAAGCTTTAGGAAAAAGGACGGGCGCTTGTTAAGGATTGGTGAGCAAAAAACTAGAATAAAACGCAGGGAAACTATGAAAATTTCTTAAGATTAGGGAGATACCACATAGTGGACCTTTTTACTGAAAAATCACTATGAGAGACACGTACTCTATATATAGGGCGTCCGGAAAGTCCTTAGAGTTACAAAAATTTGGATATCTCCATTATGGTTGGACTAAACGAGCTCATTTTTCTAACAAAGATTGAGGCATGTTCACACTCCAAATTCATATGGACAAGGGTACTGAGAATCTTTGTTAAGTATCACTATTGACCGCAACAAGAAAATTTTACTGTTTCACAGTTAGGAAAACAAACATTACACAGGATAGGGCAAAAGACACTTTATTGAAAAGACAATTGACTCTCTTCATTATGGCTTGAGCGAACCAACTGATATTTTTACCCAGGATAGAGGCATATCCACACTCCAAATCCATACTGACAAAGTTAGTGAGAACCTTTGTTAAGTATATGGTTTTTCTTCCTCTCTGTAGAACAGTAAAATTTTCTTGTTAAGGTCAATAGTGATACTTAACAAAGATTCTCAATACTCTTGTCCATATGGATTTGGAGTGTGAACGTGCCTCAATCTTTGTTAAAAAAATGAGCTCGTTTGGTCGAGCCGTAGAGGAGATATGAAAATTTTCCTAACTCTAAGGACTTTCCGGACACCCTATATACGTGGAAAATTTTATAAGAAGGCTAATAAATTATATATCATTCGATGTTGACTTCAAATATGAAGTTAGTTCTTAATAAAAGTGTTTCTAGACCGAGAAAAATGAGTTTTATCTAGAAAACCTATAGCACAGATGTGGAACGTTCATATTGATTCAAGCTAACATTATATAGACGTTATAGGTATAGGAACTGTCGTTAGATTCGAGGTTGTGCAAGCTTATTTTACTAAATACATGCTTCTATAAAAGCATTTGATGTTAAAAAACAATAACTTTTTCCATATCCCCAAACAGATAGCAGTGAAAATTTTTTTCTTATGAAACGATAGATTGAAAAACACAGTTTCAGATTATATATATATATATATCTTTTCTCTCTTCAATGTTTTCTCCTAATTGTTTTTTTACTCATAGTACAAAAATGCTTCTAATTAGATTCCATCAGGTTGGTTTCGGACGTGGATTCATTCGAATTGTGGTCAAAAAAATTTGAACTTGACGGGCTCTACTTACTAGTTGCATTTTTCGAGAAGGTTTTCTGATTAATGTTAACAAGAGGAACAAAAGTTTTTATATCATTAAATAACCCATATATCAGAGTATATGTTATCTTATTTAAGCCATAAAATAGTGCATTTTCAAATTTTCATCGAAGTCCTCCTGGATGCTTCACAATGTCTTCCTATTTCGGACACCCCTGTTTTCAATAATTTTTTTTGTTAATAATCTAATTTATTTTTTAGTATGATAATGCAATACTCTTCTCTGACATGAATGGTCTTGAATTACTTATTAAATTGCTTAATACAACAAATACAAATAATGATGATATTCGTCATTTAACAAGTCTTGCAATAGGTGCAGCTTTTCAAGGGTAAGAAAAAAACAAGAATGAAAGAATAATGATTATTTTGTTTTCTTTTTTTTAATGGAAATTTGTTTTTTAGAAATCCAAAAGTTCAATTAAAAGGATTAAATCTTGGTTTTGTTCGATATTTATTACATTTAATTAATATAGAAACAAATAATAATATTAAATATCGTCTTCTTTTTACATTATCAACATTATTAAGAAATTTTCCACAAGGACAAAGAAGTTTTCTTGAACATGGTGGAATTGAAACAATAATTAAAATTTTTGAACAAAATAATTCAAATAATAAAATAAAAACCAGAGCTATGGAACTTATGAATGATCTTATTCTAGAAAAAGTAAAAAACAAAAAACAAAAAAAAAAACTAAAGATTTATTTTTATTTTTTATAGAATCAAGCTATGGATGATAAACAACATGCCTATGAAAAGTAAGTTACACTACTTAAACATTATTGAAACATTAAATATAATCGAGAAGAAGAATATTGAAAGTCATGCAAGATGTCTAAAAACTTTTCTGACTGAGATTAAAAAACGATTGGTTCCGCTTATCAATAAATAGAAGTGTGAAAAATTGTGTATGATTATACTCCATCATGAATATAACTCAATGGAACTACCCACACCGTGTCTGATTGAACAGTCAATGAGTTATGACGAATAATGTCTATTTTTGCTTTGAGTTTCATAACTCTAAAGACGAAAGACATCGTAGATCGACAGATATGTCATTATATAGCACTATGTGTCATATAAATTTTATGATGGTTTGTCAATCTCTTCAAGAATTATGATCATTTTTCTATAATCATTGATGTGTAGATAAAAAAAAACCATGTATTACTCTTTTTAACTCCATACTTCAATGATAGTTTAATAAATTAATCTGATATTTTTAAAGAAACTTTCTCCATATCTTGACATTGTTATCTACAAGCTTCAGAAGTTATTGTTATACTAAAGGAAAATGACATACAGATGATCATCGTGTTAGGTTTCATATGAAAATATCTCAGAATTAATCATGTATCTGATAACAGATAAGACAAATGAGAGGATAACGATTTTTGTCTACAACTGTACGACTTTGTGAGCCGTAAGAATATATACAACTCGAAGACAAAAAAACATCTCATTATCAGTACTTTGCTAATTATACATACAATATTATCTATTATTACGATTGATAAGAATCAAATAAATCTCTAAAAATTATCACATAACGTTTGAAATTGGTCTATCTGATGTTTATTGTGTCTAACTTGTTTATCAATATTAATCTACCTTGCACGATAATCTTTTTTTTTTTTTTTTTTATTGTTTTAGTATTAATATTCGTGATGAATTAGTTAAACATAATTGGTGTTCACATATATCTTATTATTTAATATCAATTGATCTTAACGATTTTGACCATATTGAAAAGATACTTATGGCAATGATGCCATTAACAGATGTGTGTCGAATTGACTTTGTTTCATTAGTACCAATTCTTGACAAACTTAATGATATTTATACAAAAACAAATCCTAATGAATATTCAATGTATATGGAGTTTTTAACTAATATACAAAATCTTCGTAAAAATTTATTGCAAACATCATCAACTGATTTATAGTTACATTTATATTGTATGTTGTGTTATTTTTCTTGTCTTTTGTCAGATTATTAGTTTTGCTATTTACTCTGTTTTGTTTTATTATAACGTTTTCCTTTTTTTTGTTTTGTTTTTTGAAGAAAATAAAAAAGGAAAGAAAGTTATATAAATTTTATTAGTAGTAATATGAAAAAAAAACAAGTTTATTATTATTTAAAGATATGTTGTAATTGTTAGATACTATTTTCTTTTTTTTTTCCATTTATTGATTTGCCAATAAATGATATTAGCCTTGAATATATGCTTGACTAGAAATGTAGCAATGAATAAAGACCTAACTGTGACAAGAGAAAGAAAAGAATATATTATTGTATGATACTAACAGTTTTCCTATCTGTTTTCAAGGCAAATCATTCATTTTCTCTTTATCCTTCTTTTGTCTTCTATTTTTAAGACCAATTATATGCAAACTAAATAATATGTCTAGGATAATATGTACAAGAGAAAGAGCAAATCTTTTTCATCATGACCAGATTAGGCCTCTTTGTCTATTAGTGCACATACACACACACACACGGCAAGAAGATAGATGAGATCGTTTTAGATCGAGATGTATCGGCGCATTTCCATCAGGAAAATATATATGTTAAGAATTACACATATGCTAACAAATCTCACACAGAGGAAGAGAAAAAAAAATTTTCCGTTAATATCCACAGCGGTTATCCATTTTTCTTCTCCTCTTTTCTTATGTTTAGCGTAACATAGCACCCAAAAAAGGCAACTTTTCCCCTCAATAACAACAACATTAAGAAGAAGAAAAAACGAGAGCGAGAGCGAGAGCAAGGGATATAGACTCTGAGTGTTCCTTTGCTTGTACTATTTCCCAGTAAGAAGCTGTTTGTGGTACCATACACGACATCAAACTAGATTTATCATCTTAGATTTCCTCAATCTCCATAATGACTGACGTGAGTATTGATATATTCAAAGCAGAAAAAAAAAGAAAAGAGAATATGACTTTTTTGTTTTTTTAAAATAAATCTTAACTAATTTAAAAAAAAGTTATTAAATAAACTGACACATTGATTATTCTAGAAAGACGAAGTAAGTTTACATGGCACTGTATAATCCATTCCTACACACACATCTTCAGTATTCGTCCTATCGCACATATGAATCTTTGATTTCTTTCTTTCATTTTTTATTTTTATTTTTTCTATGGACGTTCTCAGTTTTTTTTTTATTACGCATGTTAAAGAATTATATTTTCAAATATCATTGATATTTTCCATGCTAATGCCTCATTTTGTTTCCCAATACCATTCACTATATGATTTACAAAGGACTAATATATGATTATTTGATTGATATTGATCAAATAATATATATATATATATATATATATTGTTTTTTAAACAGAAAAAATCAAAGAAAAAGGCTCAACGTGCCACTAGTAATGTATTTTCAATGTTCGATCAAAAACAAGTACAAGAATTTAAAGAAGTATGTATTATTAAAAAAAAAAACAATTATTTCGAAGAAAAAAAACAATTTTTTTTTTCGTTTCATTAGGCCTTTAATCTTATGGATCAAGATCGTGATGGTACAGTTAGTTTGGACGATCTTAAAGAAGTCTATGCTTCACTTGGTAAAGAAAACAAACAAAAAGAAAAATTAATTTTTTGTTTTGAAAAAAATATTTCGGTTTTATTTAGGAAAAGCACCAAAAGATGCTGAATTAAAAGCCATGCTTGACGAAGCTCAAGGTGCAGTTAATTTTACTATGCTATTAACATTATTCGGTGATCGATTAAATGGTACTGATGAAGAAAATGTTATTTTAAATGCATGGAAAAATTTCGATCAAGAAGGACATGGATTTATTAATCAAAAAAGGTAAAATTATATTGTCAATTAAATAATAAATTAAAAATTTCTTTTTTTAGTCTACGAGAAGTTCTTACTGGTGAAGGACGCGCGGATGAAAGTTAGTAAAATTTTATAATTATCTTTATTTGATAATTAATTGTTTTTTTTAATTTAATTTTTAATTTTAAGGATTAACCGATATGGAGGTAAGCAAAAAAATAAATTTTATTTTATTAATTATTATTTGTCTTGGTTGTTTCTAGTTCAGTCAAATGCTTGATGGTGCTCCAATAGATCCAAAAGGAAATCTTGATTATGGCGCATTTACACGACAGATCAAACGTGGCAAAGAAGATGAATAGATGATTTATATTAAAAAAAAATATAGACATTTTCTTTTTTTTGTGTTTTGTTCAATCACTTTTTCTTCTTAATAACAGAGAAACAACAAGCAAATAAAATGCACGCTCAGCCTTCTCTCTCTCTCTTTTTTTTCTTAAATTTCTCTTTACCCTCATAATGCACACATACCTTTATATCATATAACTAATATTTTTTTTTTCTACATCTGTTTTAACAACGAATAAAACAACCGAAATAATTGAAATATCATACTGTGATTTTCTGATTGTGAAAAAGTAAAAGAAAAAAAAAATTGAATCTTTCCTTTTTTTTGCTTTTTAAGTACAAGAAAAAACGATTTGTTAGCATTTGTCTTTTTTTTTGTAAAATACAGGAAAAAAATATTTTTGAAGTGTTACGATGCAGCAACAAATAACTACAGGACGACAACAGGCAAATGATCGATTACAACAACAGTTGCCTATTAATACAATCAAAGAAACAACAAAGCCTATACATTATAAACGTGTCAACCAAATTTCACAATCAGCGCCAAACCGTTTTGATAAGTTAACAGGTACAAATCAGCAACAATGGCCATTGCGACGTTTGCATACTAATCTTGACGATTTCGATACTCATTGTTCACTTTCATCTTGTCCTACGTATTCATCTTTATCTGCACATTCACCTGAGACTCGTGTAAGTGAATATTAAATTTAAAAAAAAATTTTTTTTGTTTTAAATAATCAATCGTTCAAAATTCAAATTGTCTTTTTCTATCTCGATGATTACTTCAGAATACAACATACTTCTACTGTTCAAATGGTGTATATATATATATATATAAAGTGGTGGAAAAAAATTTAATAACAATTTATTTTCCCATAATGTTAAGCAATTAACTCGAATTCAGATAGTAATTTTAATATTCAATAGAATTTTTTATCTAATGTATTCTATAGCAAGATTCCTAAAAACCGGGCACGGTAGTTTTCAGATCTCGGAAGGTATTTTTTTAAGAATGATATTTTAAAGAGAATAAAATGAGTGACTGTCGCATTTTCTACGACCTTCTCTTGAAAAACTGGTTTTCTGGTCGATTTTTTGATAAATTTCGTTTTTTTTATAATAACTTTAAGTTTTTAAAGAAAGGTTGTAGAAAATGTGGCGACCTCTTCTTTTGTAGTCTTCCTATAGAATGCATTAGATATAAAACTCTGTTAGCTATTAAAATCACGCTCTGTATTTGATCTAATGGCTTAATATTATAGCAAACAAAAACATTATTATTAAATTTTTCTATCATCTTATGTATATATGTTGACAGACAAAAAAAAATATATACAATATGAAATGTATACTATTTTTTAATTGAAAAACAAAAATAGTGATGTATCATTCCACATAATATTTTTAAGATTTTCTATTAATTTTTTTTTCTTGAATTGAACATAAATAATTTAGATAAGAAAGATTTTTCAATAATACAAAATAAATCTTGTATTAATACTTAATTAAATAGAAAAATAAATATTCAATTCTCTAATAAAGTCTTAAGAATATCATTGATTATGAGTAAAATATTTGTCTCCATAAAAAAAATCTTCAGTATAAAGAAAATATCGAATGTAATATCTTATAACATAAAAATTAATTTTGATTAAGTTAATCTCGAAGATATTTCTCAACTTGACATATACTTTACATTTTGAATTGCTATCTCATATTGTTCGTACTATGTATTGGTGAATACCGAACGGTCTACCGATGATTTTAATCACATGAGATATTTTTTCATACATTTGTATTTATTACATCTGGGCTTAAATTATTTTTCAGAAGAAAAATAGAATATCTCTAATATAAATTAAAAATTCCATTAATAGGAGTGTGCAACACAAATAACAACATTAACACCAATCGAAACCGTCGAAGATAATCAAGATCTATCAACTGATTCTTCATTACCTATTGATAATAATCAAGTATTAGTTATTGACGAAATTCCTACTGAAGAACTTGAACTTATGCCAATATCAAGTGGTTTTGGTTATTATCCATATAATTATCCAACAACAAGAAGAGTACATCGTGCACAACCACAAATTGTATCTCGTGCTCCTCAGGTAAAATTTTCTTGTTTTTTCTTTTTACGCAGTTTTTATCTCGTTTACTGCATGGATTTGTTTTATTTATTGTTCAAAATATTTTACAACAAAAGAAAAAAAAAATTATATATTGAGAAAGAGAACGAGAAGAGAACATTGACGTTTTTTTTTTTCGTGAATACTAAAACACATTTTAAGTCATTTAAAAAAAAAAAGACGCAGTAGTAATAGTACATACGAGCAGTCAGTGAAATTTGTTTTCTCAAGTGGTTTTTGTGATCAAAAAAAAAAAAAACGAGAAAGAAAAATTTTATATGTCAAAAAGTTATCGCGATCAGTTCCGAGACAAAAACCAGAATGGTTACAACAATCATTCGGGAACAAAATCTACTGGTAAATTATCACGACCACGACCTACCGCTGTTAAACAATCATCACCACGTTCTGATACATATGCATTACCAACAAAACGAAATGAAGTAAATACTCGAGTATCAAAAGATGATATGGTATCAAAAAATTCTCAACATATACCACGAAAAGAACGTTTTGCTAGAAATTTTTCAACACCACCACCTCAACAAAGACGTACAGAATTTGCGCATAGAAATGATGTCACTCGACCTGTACAAAAAAATCGTAATTTACCCAATGATCAACAAGATTTTCCTCGCAAACCTCTACACTTTGCTAACAAAAAAACCGGTGCTTATCGCTCTTCTAGTCCTCCTGCTTATTACCAAAAATCTTCTTCTTTACCCCGAAATATACCTCAAAAATCACGACGTATGCGTGTAGCAAACAATGAATATATCATAGAGCGACGTAGACAACCAATGGATTATATTTATGATGACTATCGTACGGTAAGTAATAAAAATTACTAATTCTTTTCCATCTCGATTACTTATATTTATGAATCAGATAACTTTAACTTTATCTTTGTAATTTTTAAAATTCAAGCTTTAATTGTATGTTGTTTTTCATATGATTCTATCTTGTTGACTTTCAGCATCTTCTAGTATCCGACTCTTCCATAATCAATGGCATCACTAGGACGACAGCAGTAAACTGTTTTTATTCAACAAATACTGACTTACAGCCTATGAAAAAAGGGGAAAAAAAGAAAATTCTAAAGTTTGTTATTCGTCTATCAATAAGAATAACAAAAAAAAAGTAATTGCATACGTGAAAACGTTTGACGAGATTTGATTTTTCACTTTTATTATTTTTTTTTTGTATGCTTAAAAAAGAAAGCTATTTAGGCGTAGATTTATTATTCTTTTCATGTTTATGTTATTCTTCTTTAGAATAAAAAAAAAAAAAGGAAAACAACATTTAATGTTATTTTGACAATTTATTTAGGAGACTCCAGTTGAAAGAAGAAGAAGATCTCAACGAGTTGTACGTGTTCTACGTGACACACCCTATCAAGATTATGATGATGACGATGTTTATTATGTTGAACCAGCATCAACACGTCAACCAAGAAAAGCTCAAAGACCATCACCAAGAGAATATATTTATGTTGATGAAACTTCAGCACCAACTCGTCATCATCGTTCAGGTCGTCGTGAAGTTGTTTATATTGAAGATGATGAACCACAAATTGAATATGAAGATGAATATATATATGTTGATGAAAATGGTAATGAAATTGATTTTATTGATGAAGGAAATCCATCAAAACAATATGTTGAATATATTGATGATGATGGTAGAGATAGACGACGTTCACATAAATCTAAAATACTCTATGTTGACGATGAACCACCAATTAATCAACGACGAAATAAATCGAAATCTAAACATCCATCATCAACAAGAATTGTTTATGAATAAAAAAAAAAAAAAAAAAAAACAGCAACGTTTTTTTCTTTTAATTTCTTTCATGTAAATCTTTTATTATTATAATTCATCGAAAAGAGAACGAAAAAAAAGAAAGCTTATGTCTTTTTATGCTAATACATGATTAGGATATGGGTATAAAGCTGTTGGTGAGCGATGTGAAAATAAATGTCCTGGTTTTTTCTTTTGACAATATTTCCAAAGAAAATACATCATTAGAAGAATTGATAGAAAAATTAATGAAGTCATAAATAATATTAAATGTTTTATAAATTTTTTCTTTCGACAACCACCTTTAGATTCAATACGAAAACATCGAAGCCAAAATTGATACATTTTATCAAAATAATTAAGTTCATTTTGAATAGAATTTAAACCAAAATATAAATAATTATGTTCATTATTTGTATATGGTTTCCATTCAATATTAGATTCATCCATAGAAGATGAACCTTTATTTGGATCTCTATTTAATAAAAAAAAAAATAAAAAAAAAATTAGATATAAAAATTTAAAAACAAACCCAGTTTTAATAAAATTTGACCAATAACGAATTAATTGTCGACTAAAATTTTCTTCATCAGTTGAATAATTATAAAAATTCATATTCACATTTCGATGTATACGAGAATAATTACGTCCTAATGGTACACCAAAAACATAATCTATTAAAATACAAAATAAATTTAGTTTTAAAATTGATAGGAAATTTTTATTATTAAAAATTTGTTGAATAAAATTTTTAAACGAGAATTACAAACAAAAGAATTTTTGCCGGTCACATTAAACAACTTCAAATTAGTTAATATTATATTATCAAATTTTCTATGACAATAGGACAAATCTTGACTTTTAAATAAAAGAATAATTATTGTACAGTTTATTTATAATTGACTCAATTATTTACATATTATATAATAATCTTGTAGGTATTTTTGTAGTAAATAAATAAGAATAGAAGAAGAAAAATCATATTCTATTACTAGAAAAGTATAGATGCAAGGAAAACATTTTTCCAAGTCTTTTTCTTGGATAAATATGTACGAAATTATTTTAACGAAAGAAAATTATCATTTAACAACACAGGTGATATTAAAATGTAATAAATTACATTCAGTTTTTCCTACAAAATAGAAATGAATATGATTAATCAATCAAAACAAAAAAAAAAGATATTTCTATTCGATTACTTCAACTTAATTAAAGATTTTTATTTCTTAAATTTAAATTTAATAACAAAATGATTAAATAGAATCTAAAGTAAAATAATATTTATTTAATTACCTAATTCAGCAAAATGTCCAATAGCTTCTGGTAATAATTTAAGTTGATCACGATATCCACTAAGTACTTTCGATGTTGGTCGATGTGAATAAATATATGCATAATTTGATGCATTTCTAATTGGTATATTAGAAAGTAAATTTAAACAAAGAACCATATGAAAATTAAACATTAAATCCGAAACAAGATCAATAAAAAGACTTAATTGATTTGTTATATTATTTTGAGCTAAATAACAAAAAAAAAGAAATTCTAAATTTTTTTTTTTTGTATTGTACTATTTAATACCTGGTAATTTATATTTCTTTTTGACATCATTAATAAAACATTTTCCATGTCGAAAATTTGCATAAATATATTGTTCAATATAATTTAATTGAACAAAATTTTTAAGATACACATCTAACTCATTAGTTGATGCTTGTTCAATATCTATTCGTCGTTCAATACTCATTAAATTATCTTTTTCATTATTATTAGATTCTATTTGTATTGTTGGATTTCCTTTAAATACTATACTTGATGGTTTTATAGTAGTTAAATTTGAATAAATATTTGGACATTTTTTATTTAAAGAAGATCTATTTATTAAATATGATGGATTTTGACGTTCATTATAAAAATTTTTTATATGATATTCAGCAAAATAAAGACCTTCATTTAATGTAACACCTGTTAAAAAATCAATATTTTTATAAATATCACTTTTTAAAATATTTTCAATTGTATCATTTATAAAATCATTATCAATAACAGGATATGGATTATCATCAGCTAAAAGAGAGAAAAAAAAACATATATATATATATATATATTAGTTGATTCGTTTTTTTTCTATACCAATATTAAGACTTATATGAAGATGATAAATATCTCGATCACTTTTTTCTAATAAGTTATAAATACAATTAATCATTTCATTTTCATTTGAACGTTTACAACAATAATCTTCTGAAAAACGTTTAAGTGTTTTCATTGGATTATGATTTATACTCCATGGTGCTAAACCGGTACCCGATTGTGATATAACACGTCGTATCATACCACGAGAATGATGACTTGCTAGATAAAATAGAACGAAAAACAATGAAAAAAAAAAAAAGAAAACAAATAATATTGAATTTGTAATATACCAGGTATTAACATAACATTTCCAGCACCTGCTGAATGACCGGTTAGAACTATTCGATCTCGATCACCACCAAATAAATGTGCATTTTCATAAATCCATTCGACTGCTAATAGTTGATCCCAAAGACCATAGTTACCTTTTGTTGTAAACAAATTTTATTATTGATTGGTTTTTTTTATGTATTACAAAAAAAAACGGATCATATTTTGAATGTATATGTTTTCGATTTATTCATAATCTATCGTCTAGAGATTAGGGAGCTGCAGGTTTGGATCCCTAAGAATCTGTATTCGCAGCTCCCTACTTGCTTGATCTCGTTTATATGAATACAACTAAAACTATTCTATATAGCTGAAGATGTTGCTTTGACGATTTTCCGAGCGATTTCCTCGGAAGTGAAAATATTTGATTTATTAAGCATCGAGTTATGAGAATGTGTACAACAAGAAACAACTGTATGTTGACTTTTTTTCTGAGACTAGTCCATAAATAGCTAAGATCTTTATCCTTCACTTGTTCATGTACACAAAGAGTGTCAGATATTGATGATAAAATACTCGAGTCTGGGCTTGGTCGAGTCTCGAAGTTTAGATTTTCTCGAATTCAAGCCTGCAAAAATGTGGATTCCCATCTTCCTAGTAGAGATGATGTGTACAAACTCATTTTCTTCTTCTATACGATGATCTTATAAGAAACATGAAACTTTTTCAAGGTACTTAATAAATTTCAAATAAACAAAAACTCCAATAAACTTTTCAAATATACTATAACACCATATACTACTAATTATTCAAAAGATCGACATTATCGAATAAAAAAACAAAACCTGTGAATTCTTCACATCTAAACATTTACATTGCAATAACAATCTTTAGTATCGATTGCAAGAATACGAGATAACATAGAGGTTCCAATCCGAAAACGTCGAAAACATAAAGTCATAACAGAAGAATGTTTAATGAAATTTTAGCAATGTTATCACGAAGGTCGTATGGATATTTCAGTAATCTTGAATACTGCTAGATTGAGATATTTTCAATGTCTATCAAAAAGTTCAACAGTGATCTCTCTTGGTTTTTTTTTTATTCATATATTTATTTGATCAATGAACCGAAAAAAAAAGGAATAAATAATTTAGGACAAAGAAAACAAAAATTCAATATTCCTAACTGAAATTACGATCTAGGTTTAGAAGTTTAAATAACATATTTTCTATTGATATGCTATATCTCAAGAGAATATGTAAGTTTTGTATTTGGAAGTTACACTGAGAAATTATTAGAAGACTAATGTATAGAATAAAGATTCCTATGTTTCATGACGAAAATATGTTAATTGTAATGTGTCAAAAAAAGACACAAAAATCTCGATAAGTAAAACAATGTAGTATGATTTTTTTGCCTGACAAAGTACATTCATAATAAATAATACATCTAGAAGGATAAGCAGATAAAAAGATAAGAATTATTTTGCAAGCGAACTGACGTCATTCGACAGTTTCTATAAAGAAATAACAAGAAATTATCTATTAATTTCTATTAAATATATAATCTTTAAAAAAACATATGAACTATTCAAATATAAATTTAATATCTCAAATCAAATTTTTCATGGTCTTGTTATTTATAAAAATAAAATAATAAAAACAAATACCTTTGACTCGACCATCTCCACTTGATAAAAATCCATGATAATTAAGACGAAAATTCATTGTTATAACAATAATATCACCTTCACTAGCTAATATACTTCCATCAAATAATGATCCACTACCTAAGCAAAAATTTCATTTCATTTATAAAAACGATATTTATTCTTTTGATTTTTTGTTTTTTACCTAATTGATTTGATCCTCCATGAGAAAATAACATAATAGCTTTAGGTTTTTCTCCATAACGTATATCAGCTCGATAGATATTTAATGAAAGACAATTTTCATTAAAATCATGTTGCATAACAAATGAACCATATGAAAGATTTTTTGTCATTGATAATGATTGCATACAAGATGGACTAAATTTAGTTGCATTTTGTATTGAATAATTAAAACGTTTTTTAATTGGTTTTTTTAAAGTTTCAGGTAATTCACCATAATAAATACCAAGAAATTGATCAATATAACGATTATGATATTCAAGTCGTCTACCACGATAAATACCAGTTGATGTTATAAGATATGGTCCATTATTTTTTTTATTTAATTTATTATATAATGATAAGTTTAATAAATTTTCATTAGATAATTTTATATGAGAAAAATTTGCTTGTGTTTCAGTTTGATTACATATTAATTCTGTACATTGAGGTAATGTTGAATTATATAATAATTGATCAAAAATACGTTGAAATGATGGATAAAGAATTATAGAAGATGATGAATAAATTTTATTACTATGGAATAGGAGAATAAAAAAATAGAATAGGTATCTAATAATTACATTGTTCATTATGATAAATTTTGAAAAATTAATAGAAAATACATAGTTGAAAATAAGAATAATTGTCTCTGAGAAGAACTATCGTTGGTGTCAATAGAAATGACAAGAACATTGTCATATATTCATATCAGAAATATTATCTTACTCCACCAGTTTCTTTTTTTTTGATGTTACATATAATTGATTGTTCTAGTTGACTGATTAAATAAACACTTCTAAATATATAGAATTATCAGAGATATCAGTTACAACACATATAACATAAAAATAATAATAATAAATTATTAGCTATCATTTCAGAGATTGTACGAAGAAAAAAAAAAGAAAAGAAAAAGAACACAGTCTGTTATTCTAGTTAGATGATAGAACCATTGGATATCATCTTGTATATTTATATATGTATTATTAAGATATAGAAATTTGATTCAACAACATTCTATTTCCAAAAAAGAAATACTAGATTGAAGACACAAAAAAAGAAGATCTCGTGCAAACTATTAGAAATTCATCAATAGAAACATAATTCATTATTGTATATTTAATTCTGTATAACATTGACATAGTTTACAATAGATTGAATATTCTAAAGAAAGACATAGGAGATAATATAAAACATACATAGACACTTCATATTAATCTATTTTATCATGCTATAATAACATGTAGTAAAAGAAAAAAACAGGGGAAATTTGATAGATTGACATGTTTTTTTGTGTCAAATCTAAATTCATAAAATAACTAGTATTTATTTTACATATATTAATCTTCATTTCTAATTCACCTTTTATATACATATACTGTCATCACCCTAAGAAAAACATAGATACATCGTATGTATACTGATAAAGTGATAGTCAAATAAATCTGACAACTAATTACACAAAGTTTACGTTGTCTATCAATTTTTTATGACATTAAGTGATTATTACTTATTGATAAGAATTATATTTATAGAAAAAAAAAAAACGAAGAAATCTTTTATTTCAATTCTAAGATAATAATATCAGTATCATGTTTATTTCATTTTTGGTTTGGTCTTGTTTCAAATATCATAAAATGGAGAAGAGGAAAAAAAAACTTTGAAATAAAGAGATACAAAACATTTAGACAACATTAAATATTATTTCAACAGAAAAATGAATATATATATATATGTACTAGTTGGTTGGTTTTTTTATTATTATTTAATTAACACTCGATGCTGTTGGTGTTGTTTCCAATGATATTGAGCACTAAAATGAATGTACACATATATATATATAATTATACAATAAATAAAACAAATGAAATTATTTACTTCATGAAGAAATTTATATATCTGAGTTGTATAATTATATGAAAGCCATGTTGTATTATGTTGACCATCAGAAAATAAGATTAATTGTTTTTTCGGACTTGTACATTCCTTAAAACAAATATATTAGTTAGATCTATCTTTTATATGGATAAATAATTAAGCATTTTAAAAATAAACAGTTTTATGAAAATCCAATATTAATCTTACATTGCACAGTACTATATATTATCGTTTAATACAGTTTACAGTCATAAATATCAGTAAATTGATATCTGGTAGGCGCTGTATTACGACCATATTCTATTGTACTGTATACAATTGCTAATGGTCTGAAAATCGAGTACTCGATTGTCATACTACGTCTACCAAATGACAAAAAAAAACCTATCTAAAACGACAATGCTTATTTAGCCCGGGTAAATTTTCTGTCGTCAACGAATGAAATAAGAACACCGATAACTTTCCAGATCCAATAAGCATGGTCGCTTGAGATGGTCTTTTTTCGCCGCTTAGTAGACACAGTATAACGACGGTACAATACAATACATAGTCGTAATATTGTATTTACTAAACATCGATTTATAGCTTTTTACGATCACAAACTGTATGAAACGACAGTATATAGTATTGTTTTTTAGTATCCGCCTCAGCGACTGTAATCAACTTTCAAGATTTACTTGTTATAAAAACGATTTCGACATTTTATCATTCATTGATCGTCTAAGTCTTAACAAACCTCATGTAATTTCTGCATCATTTGTGGAGGAACTAATTCATCTTGTGCACCGGAAAGGAAGAGTACTGGTACTTTTATATGACGAATTTTTTTAATTGATGAAAACTATATTAAAAAACAAAAAGTAGCAGAAAAAAAACTAGATTGAAATATTTTCTTTTAAATCATACCACATTTTTATAGCACCAAGTTGGTATATAATCAATTATAAAAACTTGAAATAATCTTTTAGCCATATCAGGTATTGATGTAAAAGTATTTTCAACAATAACACAATATAATGGTAATGTTTCATTTGTTTCAGCAAGATGCGAAGCTATACAAGAATAAAAAAAGAAAAAGAACAAATGAGAATTTAGATATTTATTTATTTATTTTTTAATCTTTTTTACCAAGATGTAATGCAACAGCACCACCAAGTGAACGACCGAAAAAAAAGATTTTTTCCTGATTAAGATCAGTACGTTTACGAACATAATCATAAACAGCTTGTGCATCTATATAAAAACCTGCTTCAGATGGTTTACCAGTTGATTTTCCATAACCACGATAATCAAATAGAAGAACGTTAATATTACATGCTTGATAGAGTAAATGAACATTTTGTAATCTAATTAAAAAGAAAATTTTTATTGAGCACGGGGACATGACTTATTTTCTGTCAAAAATGGTTTCTTTTCATAGAAATATTAGCTTCTTCTACTCAAAAAAATAAGATAGATGAAAAAAAAATGATGTTTTTCTTTGAAGGCATTGAGTTTGTGGCTAAGTTTTTCCAATGAATTTAGCAGCTGGGACAAAATTTTTCTTTACCAAAACCCTGATCGTTAATCAAAGTGTATAAGTTACTAATCAAATTCCGAAGAAGCTCACTTTCATTTTTTCATCTAATATCCACGTTGTTGTCCACTGTGGATATGTCACTAGCAATATCTCATCTTCTCAAAAGCTAAATAACTGAAACAAAGGAAAGTTAAATTTTTTTTTGTCAAACTCATTTAAGGATATTCCTCTTCCGTGGCTCAAAATTTTTGTTCATTGATTCTATACACTGTATTTTATTTTGGTTTCAAAAAATTTTGTTCTACTGATTTCTGGTAGCTGTTACAAAAAAAGACATACATTTTTTAGGGTAGCTTTGATATTTTGGCTTTTTTATTCGAAGAACAAAATAATAAAAAGATGTACACTCCAAAGTATGTTTAGTGTCTGTCAAAAAAAAAAAGTTCACCTCGATCGAGCATATCATGTCGGAGAAACGTGGGAGCAATTTTTCGCCATTGTAATCTCATTATGTCATAGAAGACAGCATCTGAGAACTGTCAGTTTATGACAACTTTTACTCCACTTGTCAAGATCTGCGTACTGTGAAAATTTCAAATTTTTCTGATAACCTGTTCTCCAGAAATTTCAGAAAAGAGACGAAGATACCCTTGAGTCAATTGCTTAAATGTACTATTAGCATAGCTATTAGTTGCCAAGTTACCTTGAATAAATACAGTTGTCTGTGAAGAAATAGTTTATATACAAACAGCAGTTGAATATACATTCAATATTTTTTTTGTATGTGTCTGGCTCGAAAAATGTCTTTAGATCTTTTTACGAAAAGAAATACATTCTCAGATTGAATAAATACTTCATAGAACAAATCTCTACGTGTTGTATACCTGAAGACATGTTTTCTTTCATCGTGAATGCGCTGTTCTGTAATAAAAACATGAATGTACAAAGGTGAAGAGACTTTTTTAATTCATACGCAAAGGGATTTTACCAAATACATTCCTATTTTAGAAAGATCTCTTCATCATGTTTGACTTCCATGAGAATGTGTACTGCATCAATCAAGTCCTATGATCACGAGAACGTTTTGTTTCTCAAAGTTTTACTAACTCGAAACTGATACGTCACTATGATAACGGAAGCAAACTATTACCTATACACGAGTGAGATCAAAACAAAAAGAAAAAAACATAAATTTTGTTATTTTCAAGATAAATACTATGGAAGATATATTTGAGATGTTAGCAATGTTCTTATTTAGTAAATATTCAATAAAGGTTTTTTCATGTATTTTAATATTTTTTTTTAATTATCTATCTTGACTTTCGAAATCAAAAATTACAGATATTGAACTGCATAGTTTAGAATAGATGACAATGTTTTTAATTTATTCTTGAATGAAATGAATCTAAGAATGTTTTGAATATCCTAAATCGTTTCCAAGTGAAAGAGAAAAAAAATAGAGTGTCAACTTGATTTAAAAAATCTCCGATTTAATTCATACCGATGTCCAATGTTTCCTGCATTTCCATGAAAAAAAATTAATGTTTCACATTCATTTGAATGATGATTTTGTTTTATTAAATATCCATGTAATTTTTCATTATCTGATGTTTCAATTGTTATTGTTTCATATGGCATTTGAAATAAGTCTGGTGTTAGAACAATTGTTCGTGCTGTATCTGGTTCATTTGGTTGATAAAGTAATGCATCTTGAAGACCATAAAGTGTAACTAAAAGAAAAAAACAAAATAATTTACTTAATTTGATTTTATGTATTTATTTTTTTTTATTTAAGCAAAAAGAATAATTTTTATATAATTAAAAAGAACTGAATTTACATACTTATTTGTTATTTGAACATCGATAAAAAAAACAGTTTATCGACTGCATAAAATTCAAGGAAATAAAAAAAAAAAAGAAAATAAAAAGAAATTCTACAAACATATATATGATTCTAATCTACTTTAATTTTTTTTTTCTATTTAGAAGTGAAAACAAAAACAAAAAAAAAATAAAAATAAAATATACTTACAAAGTACTCCACATACAATAAATATAATTAATAGAAAATTTCCCAATAATTGATAAAAAAGATAAAGTAAAAATAATGATAAACCAAATGTTAATGATATTTCTTGAATTATTTTAAATAAAATTAATTTATTATTATCATTAGTTAATACTGAATTTGTCAATAAAAAATATTTTTTTCGTGAACAATTTTGGTTTAAAGATCTATAGATGGATGACATACATCGTGAAAACATTATTAATAATGAACAACAATGATATTTAGTTTTAATACGTATCGACATAGATCAAAGAAAACAACCATCAAATGTTTTTTTCTTTTTTTCTAATATATAAATATATATATGTATATCAATCTAGAAAAATAAAAAAAGACTAAATACAATGAGAGTCTTTATTGATTTATTTTCTTTTTTAAATTAAATTTGTTGTGTTCTTTCCGGAATTAATGATGAGACGAAAATATTACTATGGCTGTAAGCCATAGATATCTTGTTGTGATTTGATTTTCAACAACAGATCTCATATTGACAATACTGAACAGATATAACAAACAAATGTTTCATAGGATTTAATTTGTATGTTGCATTAAACATAATTGTAAACTTGTAAGAAGAAGAAATATATACTCACAATCAAGAAATTTGTAATTCTATAGAATTTCATGTAGTGAAAGAATTCAACACCGATCAGAATTAACTAATTGAAAAATTTCAAGCAAAACTAGTCATGTTTCATTCTAGCCAAAAAAAAACATTGATCCTAGTTCAGGTCAGGATAACAAATTAGTTCGCATCCCAGTTTCGTTGGAATTGGGGTCATGTTGCCCATATCTATGCAGAACATAATATGAGTCATGGCAATATGACATTCGACGCAAGTTTTACATGACCATAAAAAGCATTGTTCCAAAGGAAAAGTGTCCGTCTCGGTTCTGACCAAAAAAAGAATAATTGGATTCTAGTCCCGGATTCGGTCAGAAAAACCAATTTAGTTCCGGTCCTGATAAAAAAAAAGTTATTCGATCCCGGTTCAGGTCAAAAAAAGTTTGGTCCTAATTCCAATAAAAAAACAATGGTGTGGATGTGGACTCAGGACAATCTTGCTCATATCTATTTTCAACACAATTCAGATATTGAAAGTGAAGGATAATAAAGTAGAATTCTATTGAATTCATACATTTGCTAGATTTCTATTAGGAACTTGACTTCAGTCAGTAGAAGACAAATGTCATCCTCACTATCGAGATGATATTGAATTTCTTTAATCTATGATTATATTGTGTCATAGTTTTATGTAGAATTGTAAGAAACTTAGATTTTTCAACTCGTGAACGATGGATAATACTATTCTGTCGAAAGATTAATATGATATACATAATCTTGGATTTGAAATGAGATCTTCTGAAAATATGAGAACAATATATATTTATTATTCTAATTTAAAAATATACTTGTTGTTGTTGAAAATCATGAGAATTTTATATTTATTCTTCATCAATTCTTTGTTCAATATCATTATCTACAACTTATTCAATAATAGGTGGTATTTGTAGTACATGTCGACGTTGTTGAATAGATAAACAATCACAACAATATCTAATAAAATAAAAATAGTATTTAATGATTTTTTTGTTCTTCTTTAAACTTACAAATATAATAATACAAAAATGAAATGATTAAATATTGATTAAACATAAATAATTGAACAAAGTAGAAAAATTTCAATTAAAATACGAAATATTCTTAATAGATCATTTTCTTGATCAAATTCATTATTATTCGCAGTTGGTGAATTTACTGTTGAAGTTGTTGTTGACAATTGATGATTCTTCAATAATTATACATAATTCGATTGTTAATTGTTGAGAATTTTTTGTATCTAAAAATGAAAAGAAATTTAATGAAAATTTATTTCAAAAATAAATCTTACAAACTTATTTTAATCAGAATAAAGAACAAGATGAATCATAAATGTTGATCTAGAATATGACTAAAAAAACAAATAGTAATATAAGCAACATTTTACTTTTTTATTAACACTATGAAACCTTATAAAAATATATATATAGATATGAATTCTAATATATGTTTTTTTTCACTTGTTTGTATTTATTATTGATTGAAAGAATAGTTTCTTTTTTGAAATGGAACAGATTGTCATTTTCTTTTAATTTGATTGGAGAGAAAAAAAACAAACAAGAAATATTTTTTTATGATAATATAGAAATAGAAAAAGAAATAGATGGCTGAAATCAATACGAACTTATAAAAAAGAAAGTGAAAGCCATAAATCACTTGCATTGTCATTGGATTACAATATATAAGCAACAAACAAAAATGAATTATTATTTTCCTATGATAGCCTGAAAAAGGTCAAACAAACATCCAAATAGTTCTACTTTGTGTAGATCTATTTTGCTCATGACCAGGTATGAATTTCTTCAGTCTGCTTTTTGCCCGTCATCTGTTTTCATCAACCTAATCTGCATGCCATGATTAGTGTACTTTTTTCTTCTATACACTCATAGTATGATGAAAATTAAGTGGTACTAGACAACTCTTTTTAAAAGAAGACCGGAAGATGGTATGTAAACCAAAACGAAATGACTCTAGGCAACTACATTATGTAGCTATCGAGTAGGGAGCTGCAAGTGCAAGAGAGAAATAGCAGAGACTTCAGTCTTGAAGTCTGATGTTTCCCACTAGTACGGGTTGTTCCAAACTTGGATCCACAGCTCTCTATATTGGTTGCATAAAACATTTTCTTGCTTGATCTCATTTATATTAATACAGCTAAAACTATTCTATACAGCTGACGAATTCGGTTTATCAATTAAATGTTCAATTTTCTTTTTTGTTAACACAATGCTTTTTTCAATTAAGCGAAAACTTTTCATTTCTTAAGCATCAAGTGACGGGAAAGTGAACAACAACAAAAAAAAAAAAACTGTACGTTGACTTTTTTTCTGAGAGTAGCTAATAGATAGATAAAGCCTTGATCGAAAAAAATTCGGATATGAATTCGGCCAGGTTCAGACCCGAGTTCAGAAGTTTAGATTTTCTCGAATTCGAATCGACAAAAATATGAACCCGCAGCTCCTTGCTGTCAAGTATAGACGAAAAGAAAAACAAACGATATGATTCAATATGATGAACTAGTTGACAAGGATATGTCAAACCCTGACATATTATGACGATATAAATCAGGGATTGATAAGAAATTAGATAATGATTTATGTTACATAATAATCGATTAGAAAGTGTAAATAGCAACTTAGCGAAACAGATATACAAACTGAATAAATAAACAATGGAGTCACAATCAATAACTAATCATGATTATATTCAATGAAAAAGATTGAAAAAAAAACAACATCGCTTATTGTATTTTAGTAACCGAAACATTCCATTATATTTTTTTGATACTTACATTTTCTGATAAAAGAATGAAGTCTTTTATTGAAAATTTCGAAGAAGAAAAAGCATCATAAGCAGGCGACCAACTTAGCATTTGATTAGACGTATGATAACTTCAACTTTTAAGTCTACATCAAATGAACTGTTAAAACAGTTCTTTTTATAAGAACTAATCTTTTTTTAGCCCAACTGTTTTCGTAAGAGCTCAGCCGTTTAAACAGCTTTTTGACTTGAATTGATCAACCTGATATTAATAAACTACCTATAATTTTTCGTGAGCTACATGACGATAATATCTGTAATCTATCAGAGCTTTATGAAAATACATGTAGCTTCTAAAGTTAATATAAACATTTCATCAACCATTATCGAGAATATGTCTCGCATGACTGCTAGAATTTGAAGGTCGATGAATCATGCTATGTGCACGACTGACCAGATAGCCCTTTCGATTAACCACGCTACGAAATTTTCCCTTATCTTAGTACATATCCATCAAAAGAAAGAAATAACTCTTAGAAAAAAACATCTAATTGAACCTAAACCAAACTTTGTATATCAGTTATCAAAAATTTTTTTTTTCACTCATAATACAGAAGGATACTGCTTAAAATACTTGAATAGAGCATTCAATGTACACATAATGTAACTACATAAATCAATTAGATCATGAAAATTCCGATCACTAAGTCTAGACAAACCATAAACAGTTATACATATTACTCTTCAACAATTGTACATTCTAAAGAGTTATAAGCAGTTTATTATCTTGGATTGTTCAGTTTTAATTTCAAAAATAGATATTATGATTATCTTACTTTATTAAATACTTGATTAAGTATATTTTTATCAACAATTAATTTTCCTGAGTAAATCAAATGTTGATCTTTAGAATTCTATGAAAATAAATTAGAAAAAGAAAATGAAAAAAAAAAATTATTATTCTTACTAGTTTAGTTGGATGATTTAATGTTATTTTTTGTTTAAAATCATAAATAGTTAATGATAATAAAATCTCAATTGAAAAATCAGTATATTTAGTATTCGTTGCATGAATAACTGATTGAATTGTTTTATTATATATTGTCATTTTTCAAAATTATTTACATGACTATAATGAACAGAGAAAACAATCACTTATTTATCAGGTGTTTAATTTTCTATTGATAAAATTTTTATCCAATGATAAAAGAAACGATTGTAAAAGAGGTCGTTCATATCATTATCAATGAATCATTTGATTTGATAAATGCATGTCTATTGTATTGTTATTTTCTCGAACATTTATTTCCTCTCTGATTAATTTCTTTTGATGAAGTCAATAAAACAACGCAAAATAATTGATTCATTCTGAAGATAGTTCATCTTTTATCTGTTTTCTTTCGTGTTCTTTTCTGCATTTGTTATTAGAAATGCTTGTTTTTTTTTTTCTTTGACAAATATCACTGAGGGAACAAAACGAGGATAAGAAGAGAACATCGTGACACTGAAACATAAGTAACAAAAATTTTTCTCTGACTTCTTTTTTTTGTTTTTGCTTTTACTTTATATTACAAAAGTAAATTATCGTTCTATGTTACACAAAAAATAAAATCTTTTACTATCTATTGTACAAAGTCATTTTTATTTTTTGGAGAATAATAATTAATAATATATTATGTATGTCATAATGACCTTTTGTGTTTTTTTTGTTTTATTTATTTATATGATAACTAATCCAATGAATCGAATGCGTCAAATTGTAAGTAAAAAAAAGCGACGTTATCAACAGGATGGTTTTGATCTTGATTTAACTTGTAAGTATGAAGAAAATTGATTTTAAAAGAAAAACTAAAAGATTTTCTTTTTTGACATAGATATTCGTCCGAATGTTATTGCAATGGGATATCCAGCTGATAGTTATGAAGGTGTCTATAGAAATAATATTGGTGATGTTAGTCGGTAAGAAGTTTTATAGATTGGTTTTTTTTAATGATATTTTTGAAATTTTTTTTTCATTAAGATTTTTATCATCAAAACATGGAGATAAATTTTATATATATAATTTGTAAGTAAAATTAATTTTCTATTAGAAAAAAAGTTTTTTTTTTTTTGTATGAATTTATTTTAGATGTGTGGAAAGTGAAAGACAATATGATGGTTCACGTTTTCATAATCAAGTTTGTTCAGACTTTAGTTTTGAAGATCATAATCCACCAACAATTAAAATGATATTGGGGTTTTGTCAACATGCTGAAAAACAATTAAAAGAAACGCCTGATAGAACACTTGTTATACATTGTAAAGCAGGAAAAGTAAGTTCAATTAGTATTATTTAAAAGCATAATCATTTTATTAAGAAGATCAATATAAATTTTAAAAACTTTCCTATTAAGAATTTTTATATAAAATTTTTCATATAATTTTGAAGAGTATATTACTCCACAACGGATAATAATCAAAATCTACATGTAGATTTGTTTATTTTAATATACCTTAAATAGGGCAAGTAAAAAATTTGAAATTTCATATTGCTTCACAATCAATAGAATTTAATCTTGAGAAAAATTAAATTTTTTTTTTTTTGTTTAACATTAAATATTATAATTTATTTTCCTATATAGGGCCGTACTGGTGTTATGTCTTGTTGTCTTCTATTGTATTATTATCGACAAGAACATAATGATCCATTACAAACATTAAAATTTTATGCTCAACAACGAACGTCAAATGGAAAAGTAAAAATTTTCTTTTTTTTTATATTTTGTTTTGATAAAAATTTAAAAATGCTTTATATCAGGGCGTTACCATACCTAGTCAACGTCGTTATGTCGAATATTTTGGTCATTTATTAAATAGTCGAATAATGTACATACCTAAACAAATACTTTTTACCGGTTTATTAATTACATATGAACAAAATCAAGTTCTTCATTCAAGTTTGTCTTTTAGATTTAATAAAAAAAGAAGAAAAATATTTTTTTTCTTTCAATCTAGGTCTTTCTTATACAGTTAAATCAGCTGATCATCGTATACAATATCAATCATTTGAAATTCCTCTTGAACGTGATCCAACTATACGACGAGATTTACCACCAAATTATTCAGTATTAGATGCAGCACATAAACATTTTATTCCACCATCAAATCAACAATGTCGTATACCATTAGAGGAAGATGTTCTAATTGAAATATTTGTAACAAAAACAAAACGAGGAAGACCAGTAAAAGATTATTTGTTTTTTCAGAAAAATCGAAGAAATTTAATGATTTTGTTTTTTATAGGAAAAATTATGTCATTTTTGGTTTAATACATTTTTTCTTGTTGAACCAAAAATGCAAACAATATTAAGTAATGTTAGTGAAAAACAATCTGAAAGCAAATTAGGTACACTTGGTTCATGTTTAATACCAGAATGTGGACATAAACATTTATATACAATGACTAAAACAGATATTGATGGTCTACATAAAGATAAACTTCATCGTTTAGCACCATCATCATTTACAGTAAGTTGTTTTGAAAAATTATTATTCGAAAAATTCTTTTGAGATATGAATAACAAATCTAATAAAAGTCATCCGATTGTAAATAGAAGCTTTTCATGATTTTATTTGAAATATAACCTTTTTTTACTATAATTGAATTTTTAATCTTTTAATAATTTAGGAGGCATTTGTTCTTTTTTTAGAATGTGTTCTGTCATTTTTTATTTAAATAATTGAGAGAAATTTTTGACCTAGATATTATAATATTCATTGATTTACTTTTGATTATTAGAAAAATTTTATTTTATATTTCTGATTGAATTCAATGAAAGAAGTCCATCCATAGATTTTATTTAATATTTTTGAATAGAAAGATAAAGAAATTAAAATTCAATTAGAAAATATTTGTTTTTTTAGAACAAAAAAAAAGAAATATATATATATATAGGGCACGAAGTTTTGATAGATAAGTGCATTATGATAAGAAAGAACAGAATGACTTTTTCGTTTTTATTTCTTCATTAGATATCTGTTTTATTTGATTATATTCCAACATCATCATCATCATTACCTACAATGCCAATACAATCATGCACATTATCAGAAAAACAACCACATGTAAATTTACCATTAATTGAATCAAATAATAATTCAACATTTATCATTGATTCATCGGATAAATTAATTGATAAAAATCAATTAAAACAAAATAATGGAACAAATGATAAACTAAATAAAACTAATATGGATTCAAATAATAAAAATCGTCGTAATAATCAATCAATATCATCAAATCGACGTGCATTTGCACTATATCCAAATTGTTTATCGGATTGGGATAGTACAGATTCTGAAACAAGTACAAATGAAACAAATCCTAATGATGAATCCGATATATGTCAGACTCATTCTTAATATTATTTTGTTTGTTTCTTTTTTTCTTATTTTATATAAAACAGCAATGCACATAGAAGAAGAAAAAGAGAATCTCATTGTATGAGTCTGTTTATAGCCTTTTGCTTTATTCTCTTTGTTTTATTAAACAAATCGAAAAATACTTATATATATATATATATAAGTTGAACAGTTTATCGTTTGTTTTATAATATATATCGTAATATTTGTATTTGATGTCGATTGATGTTCTTTTTTTTTTTTTTCCATTGAATTGTTAATCAATGTGTATCTATATATATATATTTTTTTCTGACTATGGATAAAAAATCTTCGTTTCTGTTGTTGTTGTTTTTTCTTGGCTTTTATATACCCTCCCCTGCCTGTTAGATCGATTTTTTTTTATAAGAAACAAGAAAAAAAAGCAAACTAAGTTTCATTAATTAATTGTTATTTTATTTGAACACGAGAAAAAAAAAATAATAATTTGTCTTGCGTTTGCCAAAAGACATATTCAATTCTATTTATTTATTTTTTTATTCGAAGAACCCCAATTAGGCAAGCGTCTTATAATAAATTGTCTAGAAAAAAAAAAGAAGAAGACTCTTGAGTTAATCTATCACTTTTTTTTTTTTCTAAAGACTTTTATTCATAATAAAAAAAAAGAATAGTATAACACGAGTGGCTATTATCCTTTTCTGTCCGACGTTTTGTCACCTGCGTCTGTCATCAGATTCAACATACTTTTTTAATACTCATATAGGCATACGCTCGATTTTTTTTTCTTACCATCCCGTTGTATGTGCGCACTGGCACGCATATATATTCAATAATATTCTTTGCGCTACCATTTAATAGTTTCTGCTATTATTGCTTTTTTTTTTTACTCGATTGAGTGTTCGCGACAAGAAAAAGCATACATCCATGGTTATGTGTGTGTGTGCTTTGCGTCAGCCGTCGCTCTTTTGCAGAAGTGAAAAGGAAGGAAAAGGAAATTGGTCTTTCATTCTCTCTTCATCCACCATCCTCTTTTTCGCTTATAGTAGATCATTATTAATATCATACACATAGAACACAATAGGAAAGCATGCAAGGACTTTTTCGCAAAAACAAAACGAGCTAAACGATTAACCCTAGCAATCATCGAGTTAAAAAGATGTTGCTTGTAGAATTAGGTAAACGTCATGCACAATATAAAGCAGTCCAAAAAAGATAAAGAATAAGAGGAGAAGAACAAAAAGAAAAACGTATGGGAAGGAACGAGATAGAAAAGAAAAAATATATACATGTAAATATATAAATATATATAAGCGAGCCACTCTAATATTCTAAACATATTTTTTTGTTTTTTTTGAGCTTTTGTACCCTAATTTTGTTCGATGACAGATGGTTACTTGAAAATTTTTATATTCACATGATTTTTTTTTTCTAATCATTAGGATCACAGATATTCCTCGTGAGGATGACGTGATGCCGTTTTTTTGTTATTAACAACAACATACATTAAGAAAAGTTTCTCTTTTCAGATTTCTTTTTCTTATTCTTTTTTCTCTTCGTTCTTTTTTTCCATTATGTTATAGCTACACACACACACACACACACACACACACATTCATCTCTTCTTCCTTCATTTTGTATCTACTATATAAAATTACAACAATAAGAAAAAAAAGAAGAAAAGAACAAACAATAAATTCGAACAATGGTGCAAAAATATCAATCACCTGTACGTGTTTATCGTTATCCATTTGAACTTGTTATGGCTGCATATGAAAAACGTTTTCCAACATGTCCAATGATACCTGTTTTTCTTGGTTCTGATATAACATCAGAATATCATAGTGAAGATGGAGCTGTAGAAATCATTGAACGACGTTGTCGATTAAATGTTGATGCACCTTATTTACTCAAGAAGGTAAATAATAAATATCTTATTTATTGGTGTAGATGAAAGAAAATAATTTTTTTTTTGTTTTTTATGTCGTTCTGAATAAGAAAAAGAGAACTGACTAGAAGGATGTATTAGTCTAATCATGCATAATTATTCTGTAGTTTGAGACGTGTTTGGCATAGGCAAAAAAAAAATGCTGCTTTCATATTCAATAGTAAATAATTTTCCTTATAAGCTCAAAGGAATAAATGTTACATAATTACTGTTCATATACATATATATATATATCCAGGCATTAGATGAAATGAAAAATACTTTTTATAGGAAAAAGATTTCATATCATAAATAATTATTAGAATTACACCGAAAATTTACTAAAAAATTATAGGATATAAATTTTATAATTTTCTTCTAATAGTCTCTTATCAGGCAAAACAAGCCTTTAGAAATTAAAATATCATTGATCAAATGACTGATAATAATTGTGATTAATGAGAAAAGATTAGATGTCATAATAAAAGATAAAAAACGAGTAGTTGAGTAAAAAAAATAACTATTTAAATGATAATATTTTATGTTTTTTTTTGTTTTGTTTAAATATTCCAGATTGTCAATGTTGATTATGTTGTATTTTTACAAAAAAATCATCTAGATCATCGACAACGTACATTACGTATTGATGCATGTAATGAAAGTTTTGCATCACGTTTAGAAATTAAAGAATTTTGTCATTATTATGTATGTTAAATATATTTTGTTTTTTTTTTTTTTGTCAAAAGAAAGAAACAACCAAATATCCATAAATTCTAGGTTCATCCAGAAAATGCTTTATGGACATGTTTTGAACAAAGTGCATATTTAGAAATCAAATCTTTTTTTGGTTTTGAAGCAAGTGTTGAAAAATTAGCTATGAAACAATATTCAACAAATTTAGCTAAAGGAAAAGAAATTATTGAACATTATGTAAATGAATTATTAAATCAAGGTATAACAAATATTCCTATTTGGACTGAATCATCATCATCATCATCATCATCAATAATAACAACAACAACAACAACAACAACAACAATGACACATCCAAATCAAGAATTAACAACAATATCTGTTAATGATGATCCATCATTAATAGCAGCACGTCGACGATTATCATCACAAGATGCATCAAATATATTTACTGCGTCATCACCACCGAAAGCATCTGCATCAGCTGCAACAACTGCATCACATTTTTCAGCATTATCTGACGAACTTGAAAATTTTCAAGTAGATGAAAATTCACAAGAAAAACAACGTAATTTAAATTATTTATTTTTCTTTTTTTGGTTAAGTATTTGTTGTTTTCTAGCTGTAGGAAATATTGATGATGAATATATACGTCGTTATATTGGTCAATTAGATCCATTTGAAGAAAGTTGTCTTGTACAACTTCGAAAATGGATAGCAGAAACACATAAAGGAAAAGTATGAAATAGAGAATAGAAGAAAACAAAAAAACAAGAAACTAATTAATTTTTTTTTTCTTATCTATTTTATTCTAGTTACCAAATGATTCTCATCTACTTCGATTTCTTCGTGCTCGAAGATTTGATATTGAAAAAGCTAAAGAAAATGTTTGCCATTCGTTAGCGTGGTAAGTTTATTATTATCGTTTATAAATAGATATTTACTTCAGGAGATGTTATCATAACAAGGACGAAAAACAAATAGTTGTTAAGTATATGTTATTGACGAAAAAAATATTAACATATAGGATTGAAAATAGCATAAGTATTCAGGTATATGATTAATAAAATGTTAGGTGAAAATTAATCCTTGTTGAAAAAGGACATTAAGCTCTATCAAATACGGTAATATAAATAAACAGAAAGGGTAAAACTACAAGGTATCATTTTTTTTTAATGTCTGATAACGTTCGTGTATGTTTTTGTTTTGTTTTGTCCTATGAAATTATGGTATGTTATTTATTTAATCCATAAAGATAAGTTTCAAGTTTCAATTCTGAGTACAAAATATACGTTGTTATGTACTTAACAAAAGAAAAACATCTATGTCAAGAATTTAATATTCTTTCTTACGACAGAATACATTGATGTATAGCTATTATCGAAGAATGTTTTTTTTTCTTCTTTCTGGAAAGATTAGCTGTCTAGTTGCTTATAGCGCCGAGAACTAATTCACATGATGAAAGGACAACATGACCTAGTAATTTCCAGAATCATTGCATGCCTTATACAGTACTAGAAACTTCATTAACTAATGAATTTTACCTCGTCAGGTTTAGTATGTTATTGTGTCTTAATAAATTCTAATTGTCAATTCTATCTGAATTTTCCATTATTATATCGAGAATATTAATCTTAACACATTATTTCAAGGCATATAAAGTAGTTCATGCATTGAATCATCAATAAATCATGGTTCACACACTCAAGGTTTCTAACAATGAGTTGTTCGTAGTAAATAACTTCCTTTTTCTTCTTAGTTTGTTAATGACAAGAATTGATTTATAAAGAATTGTTTTCTATTTTAAGAATAATATATAAATAAATCTGTTTAAAAATAATGTGCCAGATGGATTTATCAGATTATCCCAATGACATTTATCCATTTGTTGTTTGTCAGAAAACATAAACATTTGCAATAGTCTAATGGAAATCTTTTATATATATTGAAAATTTTTACTTAGGCGTAAAAAAAATTGTATTGATCGTTTACTTATGGATTATGAAATTCCAGAGATGATACAACGATTTTTTCCTGGTGCTTGGGGTGGAAATGATCGTGATGGTCGACCTATATATATATTACGTGTTGGAGATATTGATGTGCGTGGTATTATGAAAGCAGTACATGGTGAAGATGTATGGATTAGACATGTATGAAAATAGATGGCTTATTTAATTTTTTGATAAATTTTTAATTGTTATTTTGTAGATATTATATCTTGTTGAAGAAGGTTTAAATAAATGTGAAGAAAATACAAAACTTTTTGGAAGACCGATAAGGTAAAAATATTGAGTAGAGTTTTTTTTTTTTGTTTGTTTTTATATTTGAATTTTGTTTTTCTTTTAGTTCTGTATGTGTTATTCTTGATTTTGAGAACTTCAGTGTTAAACATCTCTATCGGCCTGTTTTTCGAGTTATCTCACAAATAACTGATACTGTTGAAGCTAATTATCCAGAAACACTTGGCCGGTAAATACTTTTGAAATTAGATTTTTCTATATGATAAAAGTTGTTTTTTTTATTTTAATTTTTATATAAATTTAGAATGTTTTTAACACGTTGTCCTCGTGTTATACCAGTATTATGGACAATAATAAATACATTTGTTGAAGAACGAACACGTGAAAAATTTGCTATACTTAAAACTGATGAACTTGTTGAATATATTGATGAAATAAACATTCCTGATTTTCTTGGTGGTCAAATGTCTGTATGTTATATAAAAATTTTTATTGTTATTTTTAAACAAAAACAAAACCTTTTAGTTGATTTTACATTCATGCTTCTAAGAAAAGAAAAAAAAGATATATATATATGTGTCCTAGGGTGAGAATAAAAAATTGCGACATATATTTAATTATTTAAAATATTTTTGAATCTCAGCTTGCTTATATGCATCATTAGATTATACTTTACTGTCTATGCTTTATTATGAATCTACGAAACAAATTTGACTTTTAACTTTAGAAAAATAGTTTATTTTTGCAAAGTCATTTAATGATTACAAAAATTATTCAACAAGGTTTTTATTTTTCTCACTGACTTAAATATTCGTAAGAATCTAAATAATGATTCAAATAGAGAATATAAATTACTATCAGATTTTCCGAAAATTAAAATTCTAATTTTTCAATATGTAAAATATAATTTTCTTTAGACTCTTTATCATAATAGAATTCTCTACAAAAATGGCACGTCTCCAAGTTCTCTAGAGTATTTTTCCATTGAGATACAACAATATTACGGAAGTCTCTAAAGTCGTTTTATTGACATTCAATCAAATGATTCAATTGTTTGTTTAATCATGATAAATAGTCTTTAAAAAAAAGTTATATTTACGTAGTCAAGACAGACGTTGAATAAACTAGAGTTTCGGTTCGACGAAGAACAGAGATGGAGTCGGCTGGTGAATGTCTCTGTTGTTCAATCAATATTTAAATTCTTTCTAGTATATTTAAATTACCGGAAAAACAAAATTAAAAATAAATATTGTTGAATAATTTTTGTACTTATATTTTCAGTACATAATTTGTATTGACAGTTTTGAATATTTTTTTTTTTTGTAATCGATTTAATTAAAATTGAAAATTCGATGTAATTATTAGTAAATAAATGAAATTTAGAAGAAAAGAAATGTAAAATCTTAATTTTTATTTAGTTTCAAGCACCATCCGGTGGAATAGTTCCACGTTCTCTTTATGTACATGAAGATGAACCAGATAAATTTGATGCTGAAAATGCATTATTTGGTGATAATGCTTATACAGTTGTATCAATAAAAGAAGGTGGTGCACATGAGGTATGTTAAATTGTTTTGTATCATTTTAATAAATCAATAAATTTTTTTCATATAAAAAACAAACAAACAAACAAAAAAATTATTTTAGGTTCTTATTCCAATATCACAAAAAGGTGATAGACTTCGATATGATTTTGATTTATTGAAATCTGAATGTACATTTACAATATATCGTATTGGAAAAATTAAATCTACTGAACATGATGATAATAATGATCATTTACGTCTATCATCTCCAATACAAAAACATAATTCAATAATACATGCAACAACAATTTATGATAAACCATTAATTGAATCAACAACAGATGATATTATACGTTTAATACAACCAACAATTTATCATGATGGTGATTCTGTACAAGAAACATATATTTGTCAACAACCTGGAAATTATGTTTTACAATGGCGTCATTCAACAACTCATCATACAACAAGTCCATTTGATTTTATTAGTGGAAGTCATAAAACAAAAATTATGTATCATTATGAACGACAATCATCAGTTCGATTAACAACTGATGCAACACAAAATGGATATATTAGTGGTGAACAACGAACATCATTGACTTCATCTTGAGAGAAAACAAAAAAATTCTGTTATGTGTCTGTTTGTTTGTTTTTTCTTTTTTTTGTTTTTTGTTTTGTATGAAACGGCTTGGTTCCGTAATGAAGAAAAACCATCAAAAAGAAAAATTTTGATCTTTCTATTATTTTACATTTCAAAGATAAGCCTTTCCCCGACAATTTTTTTTCTCTCTCTTGCAATATAGTCTGTCTATTTCTGAAATTTCTCAATATTCTATAACGATTACCTGATATTAGACATAACTGCTCAGGCAGACAGATAGTCTTATTTCTCATATATTTATATAAATATCAGTAATAAAAATTGAAAATAAAAAGAAACAGAAACAATTTCTTTACTTTTTTCTTTTTCTTTTCTTTTTTTTTTTTTTGATTACTCTATACCAAAAGTAATATAACACTTTTCTTTATTGGTAATAAGAAGAAATTATCAGTTTTTGTTTTTTTGAAAGTTTTGCGTCTATTATATGAATCATTTATTGTATATGTAAATGAAACTTTTAAAAAAATTCAAGCAAATTAATAAATGAAAATGCACATTCAGACTATGCTTTTAAATTTTGATTGTTTTATTCAATAAGAAAAGTCAAATAGAATTTATTTTACAAAAATATATTACAAAATTGTTCTTATTGTCCTTCAGTAAAGTATTAATTTTCGTTCTTTTTGTTTCTTTTGAAATGAATCACATGATAGGTATGACTAATATCAAGTTGTGTAATATGAAGAATCTACAAAAAAACAAAAAACATTTCGAGAAAAGTAAATAGTTAAATCGTAGAAAATTTTGTTTGTGTAAGTTTTTATCGTACTATGCATTTAATAAGTTCATTGTTATCGCTTGTCACGATGTAAACATGTGGACGACAAAGATTCTATTGACTTTTTTTTTCTTTTGCTGTAATAATTATATCTTATCACGCGGTAAATAAAGTAGCATGATACATTCTTTTGTATTCAACTTTTTTAACCTACACGAAATTGGGTTTTTTCAATGTTTACTTTTTACGTTCTTGTTTGATCAAATATAAGGAGACTGTTTCTATTGGATAATAATACTTTCGAAAAATAAATGAAACAACAAAAGTGTTTTGAAATATTTTCTAGATAATCATTATAATAATAATAATAATACAACAATGTTTAAAATTTTGATATTTATATTTTATATTTTATTGAATTATACAATAGCTGAAGTAAGAATTAAATGATTTTGTTTTTGTTAATTAATTCATTTTTTTTTTGAAATTAAAAGGATGGCCATTGTATATGGTATGGACCATGTGGACAAAATTCACTGGGTAAAATAACTAATTGTTTTTATAATGGTACTGCAAAATTATTAACAGATGAAAAAGGATTAAAAACATTAGAAACAGCTTGTGGAATGTTCTATAATGGTAAGTTTTATTTGTATTAACAGGAAAAAAAAGACATTAAATGTTATGCTTGTTTTTTTTATTGAATTCTCCTTTTTTTTTTGTTTTAGGTCCCAATAATACTTATACTTGTTGTTCAGCTGATCAAATAGGTATAATGGCAGATCAATTTGGTTTGGCAAAATTAATGTTAGGTCGTTGTCCATCATGTTATTATAATTTTCGTTCATTATTTTGTGCAATGACATGTTCTTCTGATCAAAGTCGTTTTTTAACTATTAAAGATATAGGTAATAGTACATTATATCCAGGTCGAATAACAGTTGAATCTATTGATTATAATATTGCTGATGATTTTACTCAACGTTTACTTGATTCTTGTCGGTGAGTATATTTGTTTTTATTATTATTATTATTATTATTGTTTCTTAAAAGATTACTATTTTTTGTTTTTTTATTTAGAGATGTTTTATATCCAGGTGGTAATCAACATTCACTTGATTCAATGTGTGGTCGACCATATAATCAATGTACAAAAGAAACATTTATGAGATATTTAGGTGTTGATAATCCAGCTGTACCATTTCCTATTTATATACATCTTTTTAATGATACAAGTGAAAATGAAACTTTTTATAATCAAACAACATTTGTATGTAGTGAACCAATAATATCAAGATATGAAAATAAAACAGCTTGTAGTTGTTTGGTAAATTTTTTTTGTTTTGAGATTTCCAAAAAACAAATTTCTATTTAGGATTGTTCAAAATCATGTAGTCCAATACCACCTGATGTACCGGATAAAGAATTTAAAATATTTAATATTGATGGATGGGTAGTTATTGCTATTATATGTATTATTTTTTTATTAACAATATTTTCTATATCAATTTTTATTATACCAAAATTTCGAAAACCTCAACCAATAATTGAAGAATCAACAGGTAGAAAAAAATCAGTATGATATTCTTGTTCAATTTCTTATTATTTCTTTTTTTTTTTTCTTTTAATAAAAACAAAAGAAATAACTTCATTATTAAATGAACCAATAAGACAAAAACCATCCGGATATTTAATTCGTATACGTCAAAATACAGAAAAATTTCTTGAACGAATATTTTATCGGTATATTCATTAATTGAAATTTTTTTTTTCTTAATTCCCCTTTTGTTTTTTTTAAGTTTGGGTTTGTTCTGTGCTCAACATCCATTTATTGTTTTATCTATTGGTACTATTATAATTATTGGTCTTTCATGTGGTTTATTTAAATTTAAAGTTACAACTGATCCTGTACAATTATGGTCATCAAAATCAAGTATTGCACGACAACAAAAAGATTATTTTGATAAACATTTTAAGTAAGATATATTTTTTTTTTGTATTTTATTTAAAATTTTTTTTTTTTTTTTATAGACCTTTTTATCGTACAACACAAATAATTATTGTTCCAGATGATCAATCATTTGAAACACATTATTATCTATCTCCACCAGCACCTGTTAGTGAATATACATTAGGACCAGTATTTAAATTAGATTTTTTATTACGTGTACTTGATCTTCAAACAGATATATTATCATTAACAGCTGAATTAAATGAAAATAATCGTACAATTTATTTATCAGATATTTGTTTAAAACCATTAGAACCAGATAATGAAAATTGTACAGTTTTTTCTATTTTACAATATTATCAAAATTCTAAAGATAATTTAAATAAACGTATTGGTGATGATTTTTTTACTTATTTTGATTATTCAACACATTTTATGACATGTTCACAAGCACCAACAACGACAAAAGATAATCCATTAGGTTTATCATGTTTTGCTGATTTTGGTGGTACAGTTAATCCGTTTATGATTTTGGGTAATTATACAGATGCAACATATTCAAATGCAACAGCATTAGTTATTACAATTGTTATTGAAAATTCAAATGATCCAGAAAAAATTCAATTAGGTTTGTTTTTAATTTTTTTTTTGTATTTTGTAAAATCTATATTTTGTTTATTTTTTTAGCTGAAGCATGGGAAAAAGTCTTTCTTGATTACATGAAAAATTTTACTGATACACAAAAATCATTACGTTCTGCTGGTCTTTGGAATGAAACAGCAAATTTTACTGTTTATTATAGTGCTGAACGTTCTATTCAAGATGAATTAAATCGTCAAAGTCGTTCGGATATTTTAACTATATTAATATCTTATACAATTATGTTTCTCTATGTAACATTAACACTTGGTCATATACGTTCATGGCGAACATGTTTAATAGATTTAAAAATATCTGTTGGTTTTATTGGTGTACTTTTTGTATTATTATCTGTTATGAGTTCAATTGGATTTTATTCTTATTGTGGTATAGCTGGTACATTAATTATATTTGAAGTTATACCATTTCTTGTCTTAGCTGTTGGTGTTGATAATATATTTATTATTGTACAACATTTTGAAAAAATTAAAATTGAACAATATCCATCAATAGATATATGTTTAGCAACAACAATAAGTCGTATTGGTCCATCAATATTATTAACAGCAACAAGTGAATCAATTGCTTTTGTACTTGGTTCATTAACACCAATGCCAGCTGTACAAATTTTTTCCTTATATGCATTTATGGCTGTATTTATTGATTTTTTACTTCAAATAACTTGTTTTGTATCAATACTTTCACTTGATTCTAAACGACAACAATCTAATCGATCGGATTTATGTTGTTGTTTATCAATAAAATCTACATTAACAGAAAATTCAATTGAACATCAATCAAAAGGATTATTACAAAAAATATTTATGAATATATGGACACCTATGGTATTAGGTATATCTTCTATACGTGCAATATTATTTTCATTATTTATTATTTGTACATGTTTATCATTATCAATAATACATCGTATACCAATAGGTCTTGATCAAAAATTATCAATGCCAAAAGATTCTTATGTATTAGATTATTTTCGTGGTATAGAAAATTATTTAAGTGTTGGTCCACCTGTTTATTTTATTGTTAATCAAAATGCAATTGATTATAAAAAAATTGATGATCAAAATTTATTATGTGGTACATCAGGTTGTTCATCAACATCATTACTTGGACAAATAGGACAAGCATTACGACAACCACAACGTTATTATTTAGCTCAACCACCATCATCATGGCTTGATGATTATTTTGATTGGTTACAATCAACAAATGATCCACCTTGTTGTAGAATAAATAATCAAACAGAACAATTTTGTCCAGCTACATTAAATGATACATCATGTATAACATGTCCAATAGAATTTCTTGAAAATCAACGACCATCTGAAGATGATTTTCAACGATATATAGAATATTTTTTAATTGATAATCCAGGTGAAAAATGTCCAAAAGGTGGTCATGCTGCATATCATGATGCTGTTGAATTAATTAATAAAACTTATGTTAAAAGTTCATATTTTATGGGTTTTCATTCTGTACTTAAAACATCAAAAGATTTTATTGCTGCTATGAAAAGTGCAAATGAAATAGCAAAAAATATATCAAAAACTATTTTAATTAATCAAAGTCATTCATATCATGATTCAAATAAACTTGAAGATTATCCAGTTTTTCCATATAGGTAATTATATTAAATTAGATTTTTATAATAACATATAATTGGTTTCTGTTAAAAAAATAAGAATTTCTCATTCTATTTTAACAATGTCTGAAATTAGTCATACACTAGACATCTCAATTTAGTGATTCCTTTTTATAAATTAACTAAATTCTTACCTATACTGTAGTCATATCTAGGCATACACATCAATCTAGTAATAGAATTTGAATATTTCAAACTTATCTCATTGATTATGAATGATATCGATAAACTGTATGTACCGATGTCTACCTTTGACAATCAAAGAGAGAATGATGTAATGAATCATTTGATTTAACAAGAGATTGAAAGAACATTGAAAAATAACTTAAACTCATTGGATTTAGGCTTTTCGATTCAATCTCTTTTTTGACTTTCTCTTAGTATGATTATCTTATTTTAATTTTCTTCCAATGGAAAAATATTGTGTTATGTAGTCCAGTAGATAAGAGAACATTTTTCTTCATTTAAGTAAAAACGACTTAAACAGTTTGAGTACATGTCTAATAGACCTATGACAGCTTCCAGCTTTATGAATCGACTCTTGTTTGAGAACTAGACCATTTTTAGATCTTCGCAATTCTAGACAAATGGATAACTAACAAGAGAAGCTCTTCAGTTGTCTCATCTAGTTTCCATGATTTGTTTTTGCCTATAGATACATTATAGTGTTCTAATAAAAACTCTAAAAAAGAATTTCGGTTCTTATTAAGATTTGACTAAGCTATTGAATTTTTTCTGGAGATCCCAGATTTTCAGAAAACTTCTATTTTCGAATTTCGATCTGAAACATTGTGCATATAGAGAACTTAACTAGACTAGATTTCTGAAAAAAAAATACAGAAGTCTTCAACAAAGTCTTTTCGAGATATGAAACTTTCAAAAAATTCATGTTATATAAACTATACATGAAAAAAGGTCGATATCTTGAAAGTCTCAAATCCTGAAGATACTTTGTTCGAAACTTGTGAATTTTTTTATGGAAGTTAGTTCGGCTGAGTTCTCTATATGCACAAAGTTCCAAATCTAAATTCGAAAAAAAAGAGTTTTCTGAAAATCTGAAGTCTCTAGAAAAAATTCAATGACTTAGTCAAATCTCAAAAGGAACCGAAATGCTTTTAAGACCTTTATTAGAACACTATGTAGTATCTATAGGCAGAAAAAAAATCATTGCAACTGATGAGATTCTTTTGAAAATTGTTTTAATGTTTCTGATCTAAGATTAAAATGAAAATTAATCGATGTTTGATTTCAATTTATTTTTCTTATGCTAAATTTTTCAAATTTAAAGATTTTAAAACTTTTTGTTTTTAGTATTTTCTATGTATTCTATGATCAATATTTAACAATATGGCGTGATCTTATTATTAATTTATCATTATCATTTACTGCTGTATTTATTGTAACATGTATATTACTTGGATTTGATTTTCATACTTCATTTCTTATTCTATTATGTGTATTTATGATTATAATTGATATGTTTGGTGTTATGTTTTTATGGAATATTGAACTTAATGCTGTATCTGTTGTAAATATAATTATGGTAAGATTTAATAAAAAAGAAAAAAAAAACAAACAAAGATATTCGAAAGAAAAGAATCATGTAATTTATTTTGTAGTCCGTTGGTATTGCAGTTGAATTTTGTGCTCATATTGCTCGTTATTTTGCTGTTAGTCAAGGTGATAATCGATTAATACGTGCACGAATAGCATTAGCTGAAATGGGTAGTTCAGTATGTTTTTTTCACTCTAATATTTTATTTGTCGATATAAATCTTATTTATTATTTATAGGTATTTAGTGGTATAACATTAACAAAGATTGGTGGTGTTGTAGTACTTGCATTTGCTAAATCACAACTTTTTCAGGTGTTTTATTTTCGCATGTATTTTTCATTAGTTATTATTGGTGCACTACATGGTCTAGTATTTCTTCCGATATTACTCAGTTATTTTGGTTAGTATCAAATGAGTAAAACAAAAAAAAAAGAAAAATGACTTTTTGTCATATTTCAATTGATAAATTCCATTTGTTTTCAGGTCCACAATCAATAACATTAATTAATGATAGAAAATGTCAATCTCAAATAAATGCATGCGATGATAGTTCATCAAGTGGAATTGCTGTTGATGAAAATGTACAGATCATACCCCATTATTCAATAAATACATAATGAATATGAGCAGGTTATTTGTTTGTTTGTTTTTTTTTCTTATAACACTATTTTACTCCAGCTTGTCAGATGGGTGTTGTCTTTTTTTATCGCTTGAGTTATTTTTGGTACTTGATTTTTTTTTTTTGTAATGACGTCAATAATATTCATCACACATAAAAGAAAAATATAAATAGATTTTTACTATTTGTATTAATTTGGAAGAAGGTTTAGTTTTCTTTTCACTTCCTCTGAACTGTCATTAGTTAAGAACCGAATGATAATAATAAAACGATAATATATGTTAATATTAAAACAAAATGAGAAAATGCATAAAATCTACTTATTCATTGTCGATCTTAAGAAAGTTATGATAATAAAAACTATGATTTAAAAAACAAAATAACCATAATTTGCTAAACATGATAAATATAACATTAGTTGTTTTTTTTTTTATATATATATGATGAATAATAAAAATGTTTATCTATAAAATGACAGCTATATTAAACATTATCAACAAGATAAAACATGATTTTGAAATAAAAAGTACGAGGTTTTTTCTTTCAATGACTCGTTCTTGACAGGAGAATAGAATTACTACAGGTAAGTATGTATGATATGTTATAAATTTTATATTTAGTCTAATATATATGGGGGTTTTATTTCTCTCTCGAATAATTCTATTAATAGAAAATTATTTTCTAACGTCATCATGCCAAAAGTTATTTTATATGCATGAGTTATATACACAGTAAGTGAAAATTATTTTTTTTTTTAGTTGTTCTTGTATAATATAGAGTACCAACATTGACTGACATCTAGTATATTAATTAAATGTAAGTTTATTTTTAACAATAGAAATAAAAATAATAAATTTATCTTGAAATTTTATATTTTAGTTTTCTTTTTTTTTTTCTATTTTCTTGATTTCAATTCGAATAATTACTCGATTTTCATATGTTTGAAAATTGTACCAATGATTAATAGATTATGATGAATATATTTATTCGTAATTTTCAAATAGGAAAAAACAAAACACAAGAAATTATTTATGTCGTAAGGAATGTTTTTCTTTTCTTTTTTCAATCTAATTTATTTCTAGCATATTTAGATATATAATAACTAACCCTCGAACTAGTTTGTTAGATGTAATTATTGTTTATATCATGATTCTGTCAGTATTTTTTTTTCTTACGTGCTTTTAATATTTTCTTTTCTATCTGTCTCGAATGAATCAACAAAAACTGAAGCTTATGTCTATCGTCTAGTTTTCTTTTTTTTTTTTTTCTTTTGTGCTCTGTCAATTTTTCTTTCTATTTGAGATACTTGAAAACTCAAATAAATGCGATGAGTTTAAAGTAAAAAAAAACAAAAACAAAAATAAAATCCGACGTTTCGAATGATAAAATGATTATTAAAAGAAAAACAAAAGAAAAACTTTAATCAAACAAATGGAATACATTTGATAGTTTAATCAAATCTATGGAATTACTTTGATGAAAGTATTAACGTCTAGATCATTAACACTACATAAAAGAATATGAAAAAAATAACAAAAATATATTTAGTTAATTTGTTTATTGAAAGTTTGTGAATGAATTTTTGTTTGAGAGTTTTTTGTTGCGTAGTAAAAAAAAAAAGAAACTAGAAGCTAGGAGTAATCACGCGTGCTTTTTTGATAATATCTCTAAAAAACAGAACAGAAAATAGTAAGTAATCACGGATTGGTAAACGTCGTTAGTATAGACGACATTTTAATAGTGAGCAAACTATAGTCTAAAAAAGAATTCACTCGAAAGGAGGAAAAAAAAAAGAAAGAAAGAGGAGGAGAAAAAGACGAGGCATGACATTGGTTGCACAGAAGAATAAAGTCATCCTTCTTCAATATAGTTTTTCTCTGCTTTTTTTTTTTTGTTGCTTTTTGCTGTTCCTGGTATAGTGAATGAAGAAGCGCCTGGATTGATTACTCGATTATATAAGAGTACGAGAAGGAAAAAAAAGAAAAAGAAGAAAGTCGATCCTCAAAGAGAGATGACGAGAAAAAAGAAAAAGTATAGAAGTAGAATGTGTCTCAACTGTTAGTACAGTGAGGTAGTAGCATGTTATATGAGAATTCAAACATCACGACAATATTTCCTAGTTGAACAAGTTTCAAACATCGTAATAAAATGACTCAATTTACATATGCATTTTTATTGTTTCACAAAACTATATTTTTCTTTTTTTTTTTTTTTTTTTGTGTATTCTCATATTTCAGATGACAATGTTTTTGCTTAAAACATAACATTATCTATTGAGTTGTGTGTGTGTGTTGTGTGTATGATATTTTTTGACAGACAAAAAGAAGAAAAACACAAACGGTAAAAATTAGCAAGACAATTCTAGTTTATCATTAAACTATGTTAACATTATCTGAAAAATTTCATGAACAAGATAATCGTTTTCAACAACAATTTGATGAATGGACACCATTTGAACAAATTTATGCATCAGTTGAATTAACAAAAAAATTACAATTATCATATCGATATTTTCTTTCGCAATTATTATCTCAAACAAATAATCAACAAGAAAATAATGATATGTTTCATCATACAATTCATCAAGCAAATGCACCAGGTAAAAAAGATTAAATAAAAATTCAATATTTTATTTTTTTATTTTGTTTTAAGCTATTCTTGCTTGTCTTCTATCAGATCCATTAGATAAAATAATTTCAACACTTCAACTTTATTTACCGTTAGTTTCAATAACAACAACTAATGAAAAATTACTTGATTCTTATCGTGATGTATTCATTTATTTGGATTCAAAATTAAATAATCCAACAAATTTTTCTTATACAGAACAACAATTAATAAATTTTTGTCAACAAATTAAATTTTATATTCAAACAAATCCATGTTTACAAAAATTTTTAGTTGATATACCACAATTAAATGCTTTAGCATCATCATCATCATCATCATCATCAACAATAATGATTAATAAAGGAAATACAGATGAAGTATGATCTTAATTAAATTTTAATGGAAAATAGAGATTTCTATATAAGAAAAATTGTAAATGTAGTCATGATATTTCAAAGTTATTCTTTTCAAAATAAGAATACGGATGTAAATATTCATATCATACTTTCCATTAAAACTAACTATTAATAGAGTAAAAAGCATTCAAATATATATATATATATATATATATATAGTTAATTTTTATCTAATCAAAATAAAACAAAGAAAAATATTCATAAAATTCTATTTGAGACACTAAAATAGAAAAACAAAAAAAATTTTTTTCCTTTTCTTCAAATAAAAGAAATCATTATCATCATCTCCATCATCACAAAGACATCATCAACCATTACAACGTTATCCATCAGTTCGCCTTAATCAACAAACACCAACACTACCGGCATCATTAATGAATTTTTCTTCTGAAGGTTCTCATAATTCTTCATTATGTCAACAATTAATACATCATACTGCTGATGATAGTGGTGTTGATTTAACTGAACCAAATATAACAAATTCTGTACAAAATATTTTATCAACACAAGATTCACAACATACAATTATTGGTCGTTCTCATTCTGATAATTTAACATTAAAAAATGGACAAGATAATCAAAATAATTATATGTTTGTTGGTAAATCAGCATCATCACCAACACCTGAACCAACAATATCAAATCATTCATCATTTGTACCTTTATCAGCTGTATTAAGTGCACCAGCACCATCAATTCATTCATATTATTCAGAATTACGTCATCAAAATTCAAATTATCAACAACAAATTAAAACACAATTACCAATAAGTGATGAAGATGAAGAAGATTTTCAACAACAACAACAACAAAATTCAACACAAACAATACAAAATCCAATTGATAATTTTTATTTAGATGTTAATACAGTAGATAATCGTAATCGTTTAGGTCAATATCGTTCATTATGTAATCGAAATACAAGAAAATATTCAAATAATACAAGAAATAATACAGAAATTGTATCACCATATTTAGGTGTTGATAGTAATTCTGGTTCTATAACTAATAAATTTCTACAACCAAATAGTGGCATGCGTGGTAAATATATATATATATATATATACTTTTTTGTTTTCTATTTTTTTGTGTTTTATATTTTAAGATGTATCAAAATGGTTAAAAACTCTTCGTTTACATAAATATGCTTTTTTCTTTTCACAAATGACATATGATCAAATGATGTCTTTAACTTATGAACAATTAAAAGAAGGACAAATAACTGATGGTGCATGTACTAAAATATTATTAAATATAAAAAAATTAAAAGAAAGACAAACATTATTACAAAAATGTCTTATTGATATTGATAATGAACAAATTGATATAAAAATTGTTTTACAACAATTAAATGAATTAATGTTAACACCAATACGTGTTAAACAAACAGAAAAAATTAATGATAATGATGAAGATTTACCGAAATTAATTATGCAAGTACTTGAAAAAGGTATATATTAAAATTAAATAAAAGAAAAACAAACTCGTCGATTTTGATCAAACAAAGAATAGAATCGAGAGTAAACATGAATGAGATCAATCGTTTCTAGTCTCGGTCAAAACAAAAAATTGATTCTGATCCCTGTCACAGTCCCAATTCTTGTCCAGAAATCAGAACTATTCGAGATCTTTCTGATCATACCTAATTCAAATCAAACAAGTTTTATCAATTAAACAACGATTCCATGAACATATAGACTTTAGTCTATATCCTATATATTGTAACAAATTGTTTCTTTTTTTTTTTATTTAATTCAAGACATTCACTAAAATTTTCTGAAATAACAATGCAAAAACTATTAGTTTGATTATCTTGTGTATATGTATATGATGAATAAATTTTTTATTTATCCTTTTAGTCTATCAAACATTAACATGTAATAATTCTTCAACAAATATATTATCTGAAATGTGTAATAATTTAGTTGGTTTATTTGATCGTTGTTATAAACATGAAGCTTTTACAGCTGATCAACGTCATACATTATTGCATTGGCGTGGTCCATTATGTAATAAATTACAAACATCAGGTAAAATTGATTTTAAATCTATGCAATCATCATCATCATCATTAAATCGTCGTGTACAACTTAAACCACAAACAAGTATGGGAAATATAAATACAACACAAATATCACGACCAACAGTACGAAATATAAAAAGTACATTTTCATATTTTTCAAATTATCATACAAATTCAATACCATTATCAAGACAACATAATTCAGAATTATTAAATCAAAATGGAAATAATAATTCAATTGAATCAAATATAAATCAACATCCAATAAAATCACCAACATTAATTTTTTCAATGAATGATGATTATTATAATGATTCAACAACATTACCAAATCATTTATCACTAACATCAACACCATCATTACAAGAACAATTAATTAATCATCAAACAACATCATTTTTAACAGAACGTACTGGAAATTTTCGACCATCATTTAATTATATTAAATCAACAACACAAAATAATATTAATAATGGAACATATTTAGCAACAAATCAACATCAATTATTAACACGAAAAAAAAGTATTGATCCATATGGTGAAATAAATCTTGATGATAAAACAAAATTATGTAAAACATATAGTGATCCAAATAAAATTCGTTATTATAATTCAATACAAACAGGAAATATTCCATCAACAACACATACACAAATATCACCTCAACAAACAACTTATGGTATGACATTAACACCATATTCATCACAAAAATATTTAGGACATACACAATCAACATTTGATAATGAATCAACAATTCGAAAATCTTATTCAGATACACCTTCACCTATTTTCTATGGTAAGAAAATGAAATCTTTAATAAAAAAAAAAAAG